GCCAGAGCTGCCTCTGGTCTCTGTTGACCCTTTTTCAAGGCAGCTGGTCCCCTTGAATTTCCCTGGGTGGCATAGGGCCATCTAAAGCTGGGTTGTTAGGCTGTCATTCATAGAACAAGCTTGGGGCTTGCTCTGAAATTGATACTTCAGAGATCGCTTAGACTTGGAGACAATGACGGCTAAGCATGTGGGGAAGTCAGCCTGTGTCCTTGCCTGTATTTGACCCACAGGGGTCAGATAAGGCTCGAAGAGCATCAGAGCCCATATCTTGGGAGAACACCTCTTCATCCTTCTAGACAAGATCAGGCTTACCTCTCTGTGGGTCCCTCAGAACTCCCTAAGGCTTTGATGAAGTTGGAACTCTATCCGCACCAGCCCTAAAGCCACCAGTTCTGCAACAGGGTGTTCATCATCCCTTGGCAATCTCTGATAACTTTGGTGTTTTTTTTTTTAAAGAATTTCCCTGCTCAAGGTCCACGAAGAGCTGGCACCTTTGTTTATTTTGTCTATAGAATAAACTCAATCTAGCAAGGCCTGTATGTACTGGAGATATGTTACATATGAGAAACTGTATCCACTCCTGCCTAAAGCTCATCTCTTGATTGGTGAACCTCAACCCCTGCTTTTGCTCTCTTTGACAAAATAGAAGGAAAACTGCAACCGCCGGAAGTGGTGTAAGAGGACCTTGATTTTAGAGTTGCACTGTACCTTCCCGTGCTCAGTGTCAAATTCCTTTCTGCCTCCGTCCTGCTCCTTCAGATATCTGAACCGGAATCTCCTTGGCCATCCATAGACTCAGTAGGCTGGAAGGAGATCACTGGATTCCTTCACCAGCTCCTCAATAGGCCAGCAGTTGAAGCCAGACATGGAACTGTCTTCTATTCAAGTATGCAGCAAAGTTGATACACATTGTAGGTATCCACCTGAATGTACCATTCTGCATTTGCAAGGCCTAGCCACTCCACATCTGGTCAGCCTCAGCACTAAAATAGTAACTTGCTAGAAAGGTAAAATAGCATAGCTATTAAAAAAAATTCAGTGGTTTCTCAGACTCCACGATTACCATGTGATCCTGTGTGACGGTCCTAGGCATATATGACAGCACAGTGTAACAGCTGTGTCCACAGAACAACTGACAATATCCCAAAGGTGGGAGGGTATTCAACAGGTAAATACAGATGTGAGCAAACATGACCAGTTCATGCAATGGGACATTATCAATGGAGCTCAAATGTGTACATGAATGAATCTTAAAACACTAAATGAAATGTGGAACAAATAGTGTAGGATTCCACTTAAAGCAGAGGAATAGGACAAACTCAAAAAGTCAATGAAGGTTACCCGGAGCAGTTGCAGTGGGGAGTGAATATGACATTGTATGCATACCTGAAATTCTAAAAATATATTAAAAATGAAAACTACAGGGACAGCTTTGGTACTAGATGGTATGTCACCGCTCTAGACTTGGTAGGGCCCAGGAGAAGAGAGCTGATAAATGAGGCAGACAACAGTCTTATGGAATAGTCAACTTTATTCAGAGCATCAGACAATTTATTCTGAGGGTTAAGAATCACATGAGTAAAGTATACAATCACAAGGACAAGATGGTACTTGTCAAGAATGTGTTTTTCCATAGAGGCATATAAACATTTGACTAACAGCAACGAGTCCTCTGAAGTAAACTCACTACACCTGGGAGGAGCACAAAAACACATTCCAAGAACAATCTTGTGTTTTGAAACTGGTCACAAGACTTTTCTCACAAGCACTCAGAATTTTCACAGGACTCCATTCTTGGACCATGTTCCTCAGTGATGGTTGTGACGTAATGTGCTTAGAGCACCAGGATCACACAATTCGTTCCTACAGTGATGGTTTGTAACGTAATGGATGTGCTTAGCACCATGGTCACACAATCAGGGCTGAACTTGCAACTCTGATATGTACTTGATCTTAGTTTACCAGTTGAGATGGTGGCATGTGTCTGTAATCCTCTTGGAAGACTGAGGCAGGAGGATTGCTCCAGGTTTCAGGCCACCCTGGCCTACATGGTAAATTTTGACATAGATTACACAGAAGGACTCTATTTCAGCAAAACATAAGCCAACTAAGAATACTGACAATATAGCTCAATATAGTCATAGCTTTCGACCCAACAATCCAATCTTTGGGCTTTTTCCAATAGAAATGAAAACCTGTGTCCACCAGATGAGCATAGAATGCTCATAGCAGCACTCTGGGTAACAGCTCCCACACAGGTCAGAACCTCCATGTTCACTAAGAGCAGATAGACAATGAGTGGTGTGCATATGTAAGTGGGTGGATTACAGTTTTGACAATGTGGCTGAATGTCACCAAGATGATGCTGAAGGAAAGTTGAAAGAACATGCTGTATGTTTTCTGTCCTGTGTTTTTTCCACCCATGCAGTACAAGCACAAATTCCAGGGCAGAGCGCTAGCAGTGATCTCTTCAGGAGATCATGCCCTCAGTGTGTGTGTGTGTGTGTGCACAATGCACAGATTCTTTCTTTCTGGATCTTTGTTGTGTGGCTGTGTTTGGCTTGTGAAAGTCGTTTAGCTTTATGATTCTTGCACTTGTCTGTAGTTAGAATTTGACTTCAAAGTTTAACCACACACCTGTTAGAATGGTTAAACTCCAGAAGACAGAGAACAAATGTTGGCATGCTGGCACGGATACAGAGAGCAGGCACTCCCATTTCATGATGGGTGGGGAGGTAAAATGGAACAGCCACGTTGGAACACACTGATAATTTTTTCCAATACTAAATATGCTTTCACTATATAACCAAACAAACACACTCTTCTTGTCTATCCAAAGAAGCAGAAAACTTAAGTCCACATAAATGTCTGCACATGGATATTGTGAAGCTTGACACTGACTATCAACATAACTGGATTAACATGTCTACAAAATTCCATTGTGGGTGGGAGAGGGCTAGAGAGTGTGTGTACTTTCTGAAACAATTAGATCACAAGGCTCTGACCTAATGAAAAGTTTAATCCATTGGCAGGTTTAACATTTTAATAGACTGTTGGCAGGTGGTGGGGTGGTGGGAAATGGATACTGTAGAAAGTAGGTGACAGGGAACTTGTCCCTGGTCCCTTCCTGTTGCCATTCCACTCTGCTTCCTGATCACTACGAAGTGAAGAATCTCCTCTACCACATACTCCCATCGCCCTGCTTTCTGCCCAAGTATCTTAAGCCAAGCAACAGACTAAGGGAAAGATTTGTAGTAGAGAAAATGAAATCTAGGAGTTCAGGTACTGTGATTGCCCATAAGCCATTCTTGGGACTTAGTGGAGCCCAGAGATCTAGAGGTGTTAGGAAAATTAACAAATCATGTCCAAAGGGGTACAATCCAAGCCTGATGTGCATGAGATTATGAAGAGGAAAAGAACAGAAGAGAACTTAGGGTCAAGTCAGAATTCCAATTGCCGGGGTGATGACACAGACCTATATATAATCTAGCACTGGGGAGGTAGAGGCATTGTGAATTCAAGTCTAGCCTGATCTACCCAGCAAGTCTTGTCTCCACAAAAGATAATTTTATCAAACAGCCAGACAGAAGTTGAGCCTGTAAACCAGGTAAAGATGGAGTTATCATTAGGAGTAAAACCTGGAGAGATGTCCATACATATAAGGGAAAGACAGGCCATGTGGCAAACACTGCCAGAATTCATGTGGAATGATGGCTGACAAGTCTATTTGCAGGAGTGGGAAATCAACAAGTTTAGTGTGGTGGTTTGAATATGCTTGGTCCAGAGAGTGGCACTATTAGGAGGTGTGGCCTTGTTGGAGGAGGTGTGGCCTTGGATGGGTGTGGTCTTATTGGAGGGGTGTGGCCTTGGATGGGTGTGGTCTTAATGGAGGGGTGTGGCCTTGTTGGAGGAGGTGTGGCCTTGGATGGGTGTGGTCTTATTGGAGGGGTGTGGCCTTGTTGGAGGAGGTGTGGTCTTGTTGGCTTTGAGACCCTCCTCCTAGCTGCCTGAAGAATGTCTGCTCCTGGCTTCTTTTGGATGAAGATGTAGAACTCTCAGGTCCTCCAGCCCAATGTCTGCCTGAATGCTACCATGCTTCCTGTCATGATGACAATGGACTGCATCTTTGAACCTGTAAGCCAGCCCCAATTGTTGTCCTTTATAAGAGTTGCCTAGGTCATGGTGTCTGTTCACAGTAATGGAAACTCTAAGACACTTAGCAAGAGGCTGCTTTGAAGACTTAGTGGGTGATGTCAAGTTGGGGTGGGCTGATAAGTGGGTGAGACGTGGACAAGAGACAATTTGTTATTTCAAAATCCTACATCTGTCATGGAAGAGGCTTCAAACAGTGGCTTGAAGGACTGCTGGGTGGAATCACCTATTGCAGCTAGAGAATACCTGGTTTACATTTGCAAGGAAGCAATGATTTGTTATCTACTGCATCAAGTAAGTCTACACAACACGGGAAAAAACAGGTAAGGTGGTGTTGGAAAGGACTGTTAGGATTTGGGTGTGTGGCCAATACATTTGGGCACATTTAAGGAAGTGAGGTCTTTGTGGGTTGTATGGCAAGAAGAGGTAATTCCACGAATTGCTCTTTTCTGAGACCAGGGGAATACAGAGCACAACTTTGTAATTAGTAAAGCAGCAGCCGTTTTGGTGGCTGAGAAGAGGGATGTCTGGCACTTTTGTGGCTTGCCCAGTGATGGTGTTTTCTCTGGTCTCTATCCCAGTGGGACAGCCGAGACCCTGCTGGGCGCCATCCTGCTCCCGGGAGGTCAGAAGGCGCTTTGCCTGTTCGGTCGCACTGGGAACACCGGACAGGTGCAGACCTGCCTCTCCAGCCAAAAGCCTGTCTGGATGTCAGGCTCAGCGCCACTGTTCTCTTCTTTCCGGGGAAACGCCGTAACAATTTATCACGGGACCAAATGCCCAGGCCAAAAGCGCCTGTGCGCTTGCGCATCCCACCCCCGCCCCGCCCCCGCGCGTAGCACTCTGGGGCGGCGGCTGCGCGGCGCGCGATTGGCAGGGTCTCCCGCGGTGAGTGACGGCGCCGCCGCCGCCGCCGCCGCCGCCGCCCAGGGTAGCGCGGAGCCTCCGCTCCACTGCCCCGTCGCCATGGACCTGTTCGGGGACCTGCCAGAGCCCGAGCGCGCGCCGCGGCCGTCTGCCGGTAAGCGGCGCGGGGAAGAGGGCGGCGCCGGGATGCGCTGCCTCCGCCATCTTCGCGCCACCGCCGCCTCAGTCTCGGCCTGTGCCTCCCGAGGCCGCAGCGACCGCGCGATCCCTGTCCGGGCCTCGCGTGGCACACGCACGAAGTCCCGCGCCGAAAGGTCGGGGCACTCTGGCTTTAATTTGGCCGCAGCAAGACTCCCAGCCGAATGTTCTGGCCCTGGGCCTATCTGCGTACTGGAAACCCCAATAACTTAAAGAACAAGTTTAGACTCTCAGTCCCTTGGTGCGGGGCGCCTGCATGGCCAATGCAGGGCGCTATGGCTAGCTAGCCCGGGAGTGGGGGGGCGGGGCGTATGCAGCCCACGTTTTGGGAACATCTTTGGCAGAGAATAGGAAGGTGGAGAGGACCCAGCCTTTGCCTTCAGAGCGTTCAGTTCTGATCGCAGATGCATAGGTTAAAAACCGTGGGAAACGCCGAGCGTCCAGAGTAACGGTACCCGAAGACTAGTGAGAAAGACCGGGGAAAGAGGCGGCCTTTAGCGAGGGCTTCGCGAGTTGGAGAGGCTGATAGTTTCCAGAGATTCTAGACAAGGAAACAATGTTCAAACGTGGGAGGGCTCAGATCTCCAGCTTGGTAGAGCAGGACAGGCTGGCATGGAAGAATGCTGGGGCTTGAGGTCAAGAGAAGGTATTGACCTGTCCCCTTTACGACCTATGCTTTGGTTTCTTACCTGCGCACCTCCAGACTTCTGAGATACTTTGTAGTGTCATCTTTATGCAGTTGCTCCTGGTAGTGGCACCGTTACTTACTCCCACCTACCACTCTGATGGTACAGGAGCTTCTAAGTAACTAGGCCTTGAGTCTGTGAATTTGATTCAGCCATTCTTTTTGAAGATAACCACTGTTACAGTTGCGAGTAAAGCTGGCCTTATACAGGCAGTCTTGCACCTGTCAGTGGATATAAACTGTGTCTGAATGTGCTTGGACCAGAGTTTGGATTATCAAGTGTGTCTGGAAATCTGTCATCATTTGTAGTTCCTATTGCTTTTTATCCAAAATTACTTTGGGTCTTCTCCGTGGTCAAGGCTCTCTTGACATAACATAAAACCTTATAACTCCTTACTAAAACTTGAGAGTTAGCAGATAAGTGCAGAGGGCGCGTCCTGGGTCCCTCCCTCCAAAGCCCAGTTTTCAGCCCAGGCTGTCCTTCTTCCATAGAGGTGGTGGGGTATTTAAGATTCTTTGTTCCTAGGAGTGCATTTGGGAACTGTTTCCTGCTTGCCAGGAGGATATGGACACTGTTACAATGTATTCTTGAACTTTTAAAACAAGACAGGCTTCCAGAATTTGTGGAGCACAGAACGCTGAGGGCAAAATACTGAAGAGTTTGGGAGAATTTAGATTCAATGTTACTGTAGCAAGCTAATAAAACATCCTACAAAAACGTGTCCCCCCTCTGCTCCCACATAACACCTGTAATCCCAGGACTTTATAGAGGCCTAGACAGGAGGCTCTTGAGTTCCAGGCCAGTCTGGACCATATAATGAGACTTTGTTTCAAAAAACAGCAACAGTACCAACAAAATAGTTACATAACACCCTAACAAGAGGAAGTTTTGTTTTAATGGCTACAAGTGTTTTGCCTGCATGTATGTCTGCACCACCTGTGTCCGTTATCTATCTCCGTTATCTATCGAGGCCCAGAAGAGGTGGGAGTAGGATCCCTTAGAACTGGAGTTACAGACAGTTGTGAGCTGCCATTTCTGTGCTGGAATGGAGCAGCCAGTGCTCTTACCTGCTTAAAGAACATCATCTCTAGTTCCAAGATAATGATTTAAAAATTAATACTATATTTTAAACATTAAATCAATACTATGATTTAAAAGTAATTTGCATGCTATACTGTTTAGCTCTATCTGGTGGTAGGACCTGGGAGAATGGGGCTGATAAACGAAGCTAACTAACTTCTCATGTAATATAGCCAACTTTATTCAGAGGGTTAAGAGTCACATGAGTAAAGAGTACAATCACAAGGATAAGCTGCACTTGGCAGAAATGTTTTTTCCATAGAGGCATATAAACATTTAACTGAATAATAGCAGCAAACAATAACAAATAATCTGAAAAAAAAAACCTCATTCCTATCCACTACACCTGGAGGAACACAAAAACACATTCCAAGAACAATTATGTGTTTTGAAGAAACTGAAGTCACAAGACTCTTGTCTTGTTTTCTCACAGGCACTTAGAATTCTCACAGGACTCCATTCTCGGACCATGTTCAGACATCATACTTTGTTTTAGTAAATGGTGTGGATTGCTAAGTAGTCAGAAGGATAAGACTAAATTGCATACTGACCCAACTCATACATGATGGGTCAGTATGACAAATTTGCCAAAATAGTACTGGGAGCAATAAAAAAAAAAAGTCTAGTAATTTTCACATACTACAATAAGGTGTGTGGACAATGGAAGTGGCTGTGTCTTTAGATCAAGCTTCGCACTGCCCTTTTACCTTCAGACTGTTGGCAAATGTGTTTAATAGGTGATGCCTCCTGCAGATTCTGTGGAATAAAGAGAACCTGTGCGTTTGATGGAATGCATGGCCCAGGTTGGATTACATAGTCAGGGATTTGTAGATGATGGCTAGTAACATCCCTGGGATCTGCACTGTACCAGCAACTTAAAGGGGCAGTTGCAATGATTCTGTAAAAAGTACAAAGTGTGTGGCAGAAGATGATGCCACCACTCAGCACAGCAGGCATATTTTGATTAATTATTTTGGTTTTTTTTTAATGTTCATACCCACAAGAAAAAATTTTATAACCCGAAAAAAGTATGTAGAAAGTGTGTTGTTTTATGTCTACAGGTGTTGTACTGAATTCAGGCTTCACTCCAGGACTTAAAAGATTTTGATAGAGTGTATCAATTTAAAAAATGATCAATCTTTTGCAGAAAGGAATTATACTTATTTTATATCAGTAGTGGCACTTATAGGTACATAAAATGCTGACATAGATTGTTTGGCTACATAGAGTGGTTCACTTGTTTGCTTGTTAGACGTACAATACATACACCTTCATGAGAATTTATTTGAAAAAATGGAAAAACAAACATAAAGGTTAAAATATCAGAAGAAAACATTACTTCTAAAACAGTGTATATGCAAGAAAAAATGTAAGTCATAGTTAAAGTGAACTGAGAAAAGAATTACAGTATATGTTTTGAAGGATTAATGTAGTAATGCCTAGTGATTAAAAGATTCACAGAATTAATAAAAAGACAACCCCTTAGTACACATCTTTAATCCCAGCATTTAGTAGACAGAGGCAGGCAAATCTCTAAATTCAAGACTAGTTGGTAGTTGGTCCAGGTCTACACAGCAAGTTCCAGGACATTCAGGCTACATAGTGAAACACTGTCTCAAGAAAACAAAGGACAAAAAAGTCTTACCATAATTTATAATAATCCAGAAGATGTAGTCCCTGGCTAGATAATGGGGAGGAGGGGATGGGTGGTACTAGCTATGATTGTAAAGGTGCACAGTTCATCCATCCCCTGTTAGTGTTAGGGGTGTCTGGTGGTAATTGACAATTGTAGTTCACATAGTTGGATTTCTATTTATTCAACAGTACAAAGTTTGGCTAATGAAAAGTTCCATAGTTTAATATGTATGACCCACATCCATTGTCTAAGGTAAATGTGGTGTTGATAGCCTCCAGGATACTTTAAAGGATCCAGATACAACATGCTTGACCATACTGGTGATCTGCAGGATGAGTAAAGAGATCCTCATGAGCCAGCCTGGGGTTGTGTGTTACTATAAGGGTAAGCTGTGGTCTTGGTGAAGTCCAAGGCAGGTGCCCAGCTAGAGCCCACACTGGGAAATCAGCCAGCTAGGTTTGAATCTCCACTCCACTCCCCAGAGCCCACTCATCTTGGGCAGACATCTGGCCTTGGTGTCTCAGCTTCCTTCATTGAGTAGTACCAGTACCTTATGGGATCCTTAGAGTAATCAACTGAGTTACAACATTTAGAGACCTTAGTATAGTACCTTACAAGCAGTGAGTATTTCATTTTACAACTCATTCTCAGCTGTGGCCAGTCAGATGAGAGAGTGTCTCTCTGTTTAACTAAGTACTTCTGGTGGTATTGTAGGGTGAGAGAGAACAACGCACTGTCCTTTAGTGACAGTGCTGCTTGAACACTCAGTGTTATGGCTGAAGAGGGACTAGACTGGCATGAGGCAAGACATCTGCTGTGAGGAGTGCCCGTGAGAACTGAAAGTACACCATGCCAAGACTTTTCATGCTGGACAGTGGGAGTGGAAAGTGCTTAGATGAGGAGGCTGCTGCTCAGGTTGGCCTCCATGCTGTAATATGCATGCCCCTCTCCTTAAGAGGCCGGGCCCACTGCTGTCCTGGCCCTCTGAATGAGATGTGTTTGACCTCGATTATCTAATTTTTAAAAGACTTGTGTTATACGGGTGTTTTGCCTGTATGTGTGGACACCATGTGTGTGTCTGGTGTCGCCAGAGATCAGAGGATGGTGTTGGATCCCCTGCAACTGGAGTTATAGATTGTCTTGAGCCACCATGTGGGCTCTAGGAATTGAACCTAGGTCTTCTGCAAGAGGAAACATCGCTAAGCTATCTCATTATCCCCCAGCCAAGTACAGATTTGAGTGTCGGGGGAATGGGCGTTTTGATTGTTAGACCTTTGGAAGTGAGCTGATAGAAAATTAGGGGTTTGTAGGGGAATTAATGCATAGAGTAAGTACTTCAGTGTTCTGCTTCTTAGAATGGAGTTAGCTCTCTTGTGACTGTGGGTTCCATACTTGTGGATTCAATGTACCACAAATTGAAACATTTTAAGAGCTGTAGTGAGCATGCACAGACTGGTTTCCAGTTATCCTTACTTAACTGATTCAGTCTAGGGGACATTTTTGTAGTATTTACTGTGTGCTGGGCACAGATATTCTAGAGATGGTGTGGCATACAGAGGATGATGTTGGTGGGTTGCTTGGGTAAGATGATGTTTGTGTAAGACAGCAGTCATCTCTGGATTGGGTATTGGAGTAGTTCCAGAAGCAGTGCTTCATTGTCCCCAAGGGTGAGAGGGGACAGTGAAGGACAGCTTTGCCTTCTGCTTCCATACATTTGTGTCTCTTGAGAAAAATGAAAGCCTTTGTGATTCCTCAGCTTGTTGGGGGAATCTTGAGGGTTAGAACATATCTTCTCGTTTGTAATATGGGAATAACATAAAAGAGATTTTGTTAGCTTTAGGGGACTTATATGTATTTAGACACTTCTAAATATTCCCAAGACATTTCTTTCTTTGGAATTGATAAATTCTGCTTTTTGTTTTAAAGAGAAGAATTAGGCTACAGGGATGGGTAAAGTGCTTGCCACACAGTATGAAGATGAGTTCGGATCCCCACTGCCCATGTAAATGCAGGGTGAGCATGAGGTCTACCTGTAATCCCAAGACTCAGGGGCAGAGAGGGATTTCTGAAGCACAGTGACTACTAGATGAGTCAAATGAGCAGGCTTTAGCTTCGGAAGACCCTGCCTCAATATATGATGTAGAAAGAGATCAAATAAGACAGCCAGAGTCCACTACCTCTGTCCTCCATACACACAGCACTTAAGCATACTCACATGTAGACACACATAAGAAGGAGACTTGATACCCATCTCATCTTTATATGGAGAACAAATCATGATCATAAGTAAACTTCCTGAAGAATATAAATTTATTTACGTGAACTGACTTATGAGGTATTTTATATGTGGTCTAAGAAGCAAACAGTAGAACCAGGTCTGTGTTGGGTCTGTGGGTGCTAGGAATGGAGCCCAGATCCTCTGCAAGAGCACTGTAGGAGATAAGCATGCTGTGTAGTGGTCATTTATACCCAGCTATACATTCTAAGAACCTCTGTAGATGCAAAAGACTGTAAAATGCCATGTTCTTCCCTGTACATGTGTGAGAGCTTGATAGAAACTAACAATAAAATAATCATAATACACCATAGTAACTATGTGTTTGGGGGCTTGAGAGATTGGCCCAGTAGCTAAGAGCACTTCTTGCTCTTGTAGAAGACACAGGTTCCATTCCCAGCACCTATGTGGTAGCTTGCAGCCATCTGCAGCTCCAGTTCCAGAGGCTTCAAGACCTTCTTTTGATCTCTTGGTATCAGGCATGCACATGGTATACAGACATACCTATAGGCAAAACACTTATACACATAAAATTAAATAATTGTAATTTAAAAAAAATAGTATGTGCTTTGAGGACATTCTTAAGTAAAATAAAAGTTGCTTGAATATAGTGTAATTCTATGACAGTCACTCTGATAACCCAAATGGCCACCAATCACTAATGGTTTCTGAGGGATTAAGTGACAGGCAGAGATGCTCTGGGTGATGAGATATACAGTGGATAGGGGTCAGGGATAGCACAAGGTTTCTTTATGCTCGCTTAGAATGGTGTGCAGTTGAAAACAAATTATTTTGATAGTTTCCTATTTAATACAGTTGGGCTGCCATTGATATTGCATAACTGAATCTGGAAAGTGTAGGACTTAGAAGCTGGGGAGTAAGGAATAATGATTATATTTTATGTGAAAAAATTATAATGGGCATAAGGCATCTAGAATTTAATCTTCAGATTTTTAGATTAAAAAGAAAAGAAAAGAAACATTCCTTTGCTTTCTTCTGAGGCTTGTCCATTTTCAGCTGTGAGATAAGTTTTCTCTATTGACTCATTGCTGGTGACACCAAGTTATAACAGACTCTCTCTTGTTGCACAAGTCACCAGAATAGCATTCAGTAGTTCCCACAGTTCTTTGAAGGCTCTCTCTGCTTCTCAACTCTGTCTTGAGGGTACAAAAGTCATCCTTTCTCTTTCACTCATTCTCTTTTAAGGGACGATTTTAGGAACAAGAGTATATTGTAGTTCAGAGGTAGAGCACACTTAGCATGCATTCCATACTTAGTATTGGAAATAGAAGAGAAAGGGGAGGAAGAGTGATGGCAGCAGAAGCACACCTTTTACCCCAACACTCAGGAGGCAGAAGCAGGAGCATCTCTGTGAGTGTGAGGTCAGCTTGGTCTTCATTGTGAGTTTCAGGCCAGGGCTATATTGTAAGACCTCCCTCACCCCTACCCCCCAAAAAGAAAAAAAAATCAAAATATGTTTTAAATTTGGCACCTGCTAGGGTGTTATATCATTGTTTTTATGTTGACTGTGACTGTTAGAAACAGGCCTTTTATAGTGAATTGCTGTCCGAAAGAGATATTTAAAAATATGTCTGCTTAACAGAAAAGAGAAAATTTAACTCATAGCAACATACCTTACAGCAGGAGAAGAGGGCACAGGTGTGTTTCCCTGTAGAAGTGTATCCTGGGTGACCATCTGCTCTCTAAAAACAGGTTTTCTGTTTTAGGGAAAGAAGCACAGGAAGGACCCGTGCTCTTTGAGGACCTGCCCCCGGCCAGCAGTACTGACTCAGGTACAGTCTTCAGGCTTTCCCAGGTGTGTGTCAACGTCTACTCATCCTGGGATTGTAGTTGTCTCAATCTTTCTCCCTTTCCCCCATTTTTAACACACAGATATTTTAGGTGTTGGCTGTCTTTAAGTTTTGAATCCATGGCCTCAGGTAAGGCAGAAAGACCTGCAGTAGGCAGCCCTGAGAAGTGCCGCATAAACAGGACGAGCCTTTTCTCTAGTTCAGTTCAGTATGTGACTAGTTGAAGTGAAATTCAGCTCTTTTAAGACAGAATTTCTATTTCCTTTGAAATCATAGGACTTTAAAATAGGTTCCGGATGTATTATTCCCTGCAGACTGAGTTGCACTGGATTGACACAAGTTCTGAATTTGTCTCAATAAGCTGCTGCATAGGTGTCCTGTTGGGATAGATTCTGAAACTGAAGCATGGCTTGTCATTTTGGACTCACTCTGGGTTCTTGTGTGTTTCAGGATCTGGGGGACCTTTACTCTTTGATGATCTCCCACCTGCTGGCAGTGGCAATTCAGGTAGGCAAACAGTTTTGAGGTGTGGCTGGAGATACTCTTTATTTTGCCACTATGCAAACTGGGTGCACAGGTTTTAACAGGATTTTGAATGACATTAAAGTATAGTACAGATAAGATCTATTAAAATTAAACAGATACCCTCAGAAGCAGAGATTAGAGACCTCCGTACTATATCAACCACTTTGTTTCTTCTCTTTGACTTTGCCTTCACCTGCTAGGCTGATTTTTTAAGAATTAAGATCCAGGCATGCGGCTCCTGCCTGTAATCTCTATTCAGAAGGCTAAAGCAGAAGGAACTTGAGTTCCAGACTAGCCTGGGCTACATAATGAGACCATGTCTCAAAATAATAGCAATCATTTAAAAGGCCAGAAATTCACTATGAACTTTCATATTACCTTTTTTTAAAATTTCAGTCTGTTACTCTGATTTGTCCTATGTCCCCCACAGACACAGAGACATGACAGTGTTCTGTCTTGTGTCCTGTTAGGGAGAAGGGAAGAGTGGTAGGTATACTGTTACGTTATAGCTGCAGACTGATTAGTCTGTCTAATTAACAGCCTCTTACTTGGAGTGGCTGTGTTGGGGACTGGGGAGAGGCTGCAGGTGGTCCTAGTTTTTGTGGTTAAAAGTTCGATTTGTTGCCAAATAGAACATTTACTACTTTTCCAAAGAGTTTTTTTTTTTTAATCCCTGTGAAATCAGTAGGATTGCTTAGGAAAAAAAAAAAAAGCATTTAATTATCTTGTATAAGAATCCCAAAGTTTTCAGGACTAGGGACTCATATCAAAAACTGCAGCATGCTCATATCAGTCAGCCTTGAAAACTTTCTTAATAAAGTTAGTGCTCTTAATTATATGAGGTTAATATGCAATTCAACTGTTTATGTAGATTTAACTTTAAAATACTTCAGCCTGGCTACTTGTTAATCATTAGAAGACTTACACAGCATGTATAATCTAGTACTCAGTATTTTGGATTTCTTGGAAAACTGATTCTTTTTAAGAGGGCAGATAGTTTGTGGGAGGGAGTTGACCATGTACTAGTCTATAAGACATGTCCTTGTGAAGAGTCTCTAACATACAGACCGCGTCCTGTGGTGCAGTAACTCACCTTGAGGCTAGTAGTAGCAGTGTACTTCTCTATTTTGAAATTAGAAAGGATACAGAAAGGAAAACTGGAACCCAAACAGTAAGCAGCATGATGCTGATGGAAAGACATTGAGGAGATGTATTAACATCCGTGACATTTTCTCACTAAGCTGCTTTCTTTTTATGCATTTTGTAATCCCATTGTGGATACACTCTTTTGTAAGGAGATGAATCTTAGCACAGAGCTTTTTCTTCTTTTTGCTAACAAGTAGGTTGAATTAGTGGATACAGAGAGCACTTACGGACATTTGAGATAACAAGCACTACAGTAGATGGTTACACAGTCTCTGGAGATGGTATACTCTCACCATGCTAGGAAGAAACTGTAGCTGGAAGATTAGAAACTGAAGCTAGACCTTATAGTCTCCAAACAACAAATAAGTACTTCTAGGTTTGCTTGGTATAGAGGTAGGGGCAGCTCCAGCAGCACTCTGTGCCATTCAGGTAGAACCTGCCTGTTCACCTTGTTTTAAGCCGTTTAAGAGTATGTTGTTTGGACTTGTTCAGGAACATACAAGTTTGCTGCAGCTTTTGAAAATGTCCCTGTTGGTCACCAAGGCTCTGTGGATGTAGTATATCATCAATATATTACAGGCTAGAAGTTTAAGTTTGTATACAAAGTTCTGCTACTGAGAAGTCTCCTGGGCAGAGACTCTCAGGTTCTTGATTCTGCCTGGGTATTGCCCTGTCTTCTGTCTTTCTAACCAGAAATTCTAGCCTGGGTACTGCATGCGTTGGTCCTTGCCTAAAGTGCATTCATGTCTCAAGGCTGGAGTGAATGGAGCCTGGGCTGCTGGTGACTCTGCAGTCTATAGATGTTTCTGTCTGGCTTTTGCTTCATTTCTAGGTTCTCTTGCCACATCAGGTTCCCAGGTGGTGAAGAATGAAGGGAAAGGAGCAAAGAGGAAAGCCCCTGAGGAGGAGAAGAATGGCGGTGAAGAGCTTGTGGAAAAGAAAGTTTGTAAAGGTTTTCAGACAGTTTGAAAACAAATGTATCAGATTTATACCTTAAACATCCCAGAGCAAAGCCAGTGTCAGCACCTAACTATAGCACTTCTCCCTGTGTAAGAAGTGGGCTTGGCCCCCTTTTGCAAATGATATTTAAGACTGCCTTTGCTTTTCATATACTTGCCTGACTGGACAGGAGACCATATTGTTCCTCAGCATTGAGAAGGACATATGTTTTTTTCTCAGTCCTCTTCAGAAATGGCTGGTTTTGATCATCCATTCTTTCTGACTACTAGTCTTCATTTGAAAACTCTTGATTAGCTTTGACTAAGAGAAATAGCTGTAGACTTCCCTTCCTGTACTGACAGAGAGAAATGACTGAAAACTTTCACTTCCTCTACAAATAATCACCTCAGTGAGAGCAATGGCACCAGTGTGGCAGTACTGCTGGGATGTGGCCAAAGGCATCTCTTCTAGAAGTGCTCCAGGTGTCCCTAAATGACACCATTCTGTGCTACAGCAGACTCCCTGCCCCTTCACTTCTCAGTTGGAAGGAAAGTAGCAGTTACCACTGTTGGCAGCCTGGAGCATACAAATACATAGTTTCAGGGTCTCCAGCAGTGTAGTTGGCAACTCTACTGATTTGAAGATTCTAGAAATGGGATTTTTATGTCCTCATTAAATTGTCACCAAATTCAGTTTACCTTTGGGGATCTCTTTTCCGGAACCTTAGTTCCACCTCTGTGTGAGGCAGCACTTCTTTGACTCTGGTCTCCTTAGGTGGAGCTCGTCTGTTTGTGCTCACCACTGATTTCACATGTCTGTCACAGCTCTGGGCTTTCTGGCAGAACCCTGATTGTGGCTACAGACTTATAACTAGGGAGATGCCTTGCGGGGTATTGCTTATTTGTACCACGGTGATGTGGCTGAGCAAGGCTGCTCTAGTACCTCATATTTGCTCTGGGACTAGGGCTTCTAGAGGGTAAGGCACAGTTTTGTATTGGCTTTTTGTTTTCTTTCCTCAGGCTCTTCAGTGATCTTTGCTCTGAAAGGCTATGTGGCAGAGCGGAAGGGTGAGAGGGAGGAGATGCAGGATGCCCATGTCATCCTGAATGATATCACTCAGGAGTGTAACCCTCCATCATCTCTCATGTGAGTGCTTACATTCCAGCAAGCCTGGCTGATGGTCGTTTCCCTGTTCTAAGCTTTGGACTGTGTGAAGATGCTTCTCCAAGAATGGTGCCGTGAGGAACCTGCTGTTTGCATTAGTGGATCTTAGATGGGAGAATATTTTTGAGATAATTGTTACCATCTGAGGATATTTTTGTTGTCGAAGTGGAGCAGGCAGTGGCTATTGCTATTTGGTGGATACAGACAGAAATATTACATTGCTAAACACGGGACTGCCCCTCAACAAGATTTGACCAGCCTAAATTTCATCAGGGTTGCACCTGAGAGCTGCTGAGTGGGAACTGCCTCCCCTGCTGGGGACTTGGTGCAGTTGTGCTCTCACAGAGACTGTTCGCTTCTGGCTGAGTGCTCTTATTCTGTGTCCTAGAGAGTAGATGGATTGAAAGTCGCTGAGTGTGGGTGTGGTGATACATTCTTGCCATCCTATCCTGAATTCTCAGTGGTTGTCACGTTCTTGGAAAGCCTTAGAACTACCAATAACGCTCTGTCTGCAAAACAAGCCCAGCAGAGTCTTACAGCATTGGGAGAGGCTGTACAGATAGATAATAGGGCCCAGAAAGACCAAAATAGTCAAAATGTCCTGGAAGAAAGAAAGCGGTGCACACATGGAACTGAAGCCTTTGATCAGTTCTCAGACCCAGAAGAAACAAGCAGACAGTGGCACATTGCATGACTGCCAACATTCGATTATATACATTGTGTAGTTATACATTTCATCTGTAATTTCTATAATCAAGAATTGCATAATGTGCATGCTATGGTTTTCCCTGACACTAGTTCATTAACATACAGTGTGCTAACAGCTGTCATCCAGCTTGTCATCACGGCTGCTGCAGAGCCAACAATCATGACAGAGTCAAGAACTTAGTGGGTTCAAAACCAGGAAAGAGCTTTGGAAAGTATCCCCAGATAATACCATTTGCACAGTGACAGGTTCCAAGTTGTAAGGCAGATGAGACTTGTTTTCTCATGGTTCATAATGTCTTACATTGCAAAGGAATGCAAAGAAGTTTGAAAGAAAAGTTGATCTTAACCCTAAGTGTAATTTCTCATAGTTTTATTTCTGATGTATTTTTTTAAATTAAAATTATTGTGTGCATTTATGATGCAGGTAGAAGGTACACATGACACTGTGCCTATGTAGTTGTCAGTGGATAACTGTGGGGTTGGTTTTCTCCATCCACCATTATATGAGTACCAGGAATTAAACTCAGGTTGTCAGGTTTTCAAGACAAACTCTTTACCCAGTGAACCATTTAGCTGAAGTAGGTGTTTTATTTTTTTGGAGACATGGTGTACTATGGCACTATGTAACCTTGGCTGGCTCAATATGTAGACTAAGCCAGACTTGAGCACACAGAGATCCACCTGCCTCTGCCTCCCAGGTGCTGTGATTAAAGGTGCGTGCTACCACATCTGCCTCTGATTTTTTTTTTAGCTTTTACCATGTATATGGGTTTTCTGACAGAAGTTGAATAGGAAATAGGAATAAGAAGATCAGCATAAACTTTGAAGTTAGATATTAATCAACACTTAAGCAACAATCCTGGAATTGTTCTTTTGAACATTTTTGACAAGAGTCTTGGATGAGTGACTTTTTTCATTTGTTTAACAAAGTCTGATTTAAATGGGATAAAAGTTCTGAATTCTAATTTCACTGAGAAATTATATAGCTTAATTTATAAATTTTATTTATTTTATATGTATAAGTTTTTGCCTTCATGTATGTACATGCACCACATGCATGCTTGGTCTCCAGAGAGGTCAGAAGAGGACTTTGAATTCTGTGGAACTGGAGTAACGGATGCTGGGAACTGAACCTGGGTCTTCTTCAAGAGCAGCAAGTGCTCTTAACTACTGAGCCATCTCTCCAGCCCTCAGCTTAGTTTTTGAAATAAATGTGGTTTTGTTAGTTTTGTGTCTTAAGGTAGAGTCTCCCTCTGTAGGCCAGGCAGGTCTTGGTGCTCAGGATTTAGCCCAGGCTGGCTTCAAACTCTTAGCAGCTCTCATGCTCCAGCCCTGCTTTGTTCTGGGTAACAGGTGTGAGCTACTATACCACTCTCAGATTCGAGTTTCTAACAGTTAAAATGGATGAAACTTACTGAAATCTCTTGAATATTTCTACCTTTCCCCCATATCAGTGTGACTAGTATCTCAACAGTGTGAATTTCAAGTTTATTGCTTGAGAAGAGACTTCAAAGCGTTATTGAAGCTGAGTGTGGTGAGATTGCCTATCTGTACTCTTAACACATCTGGGCAGGGACACGAGGGTCTGTAATTGAGGCCAGATTGAGCTCAATATGGAGCCTCATGGCAAAACTAAACAAAGCAAGCTTTAGTAAAGAGGTGTGTTCATTGCTTTAAGGATATAATTAACTTGTTCTTCTAGTACTCGGGTTTCATACTTTGCTGTTTTTGATGGACATGGAGGAATTCGAGCCTCGAAATTCGCTGCACAGAATTTGCACCAGAACTTAATCAGGAAATTTCCTAAAGGTGAGACTGAGAACTGAGTCTATGGGCATTTGACTTGCCTCTGCTGTTTGCGTGACTGAGTGTCAGATTGGGTGTTTTGCTTTGACAGAAAGTCATTGATAGGTCTGGGGATATAGCACAGTTGATAGTTTACCTGAATAGCATGCATGAAGCCCTAGAGTCAATAAAAAGTCTTTGGCTTTTAAAGGAGTGAACTTAGGGGTCACAAGAGGCTGTGTGAATAAAGCATCATTTCTTAGCTTCTTGTTAAGTGTCTGGAATGTGGTTAGTGCCTTGTCTGGACACACCATGGAGACACTAGAGAAACCACTACAACTGAATTTACATGGTGCTCCTACAGGTAAGGGAATAGATTGTTGACAAGGACATGCTTAGAAAAAAGTTTATATGTGAAAACGACCTACAGAACCAGAGTGGGCAGCAGCCTTTTCCTCTTGAAAGGTTATTCTGTTTGACCCTTTTCCACCAGGAGATGTAATCAGTGTGGAGAAGACTGTGAAGAGGTGCCTGCTAGATACTTTCAAGCACACCGATGAAGAGTTCCTGAAACAGGCTTCAAGCCAGTGAGTATAACTGCGTACAGTACACTCAGTGCGTGGTGTTTCCTGAGCACCCTTCAGGCCTTGTGATCCTGTTGAGCACAATGCTTTCTGTCTCAGGAGTACCCAGCACCATGTGTGAGCTCTCAGAGCCATTAACTAAGAAGGATGTGGAACTAATGGGAAGCCGATCAGTTGATTGCCCTGATTCTCATGCCCTGAGTTCTGTTCCGTATGGTAAAAGGAGATGCTTTCTTAAAAGTTGGCCTTGCCCTCCACACACATGCACACACACACCATGCACACATAAAATAATATTTTTTTAAATAAATAAATTTTAAAAAGCAAAAAAAAAAATTTTTAGAGAAATGTATGTTGGAGCTGCAGAGATGGCTCAGTGGTTAAGTGCACAGGCTACTCACTCTTCTAGAGGACCCAGCTTCAGTTTCTAGCACCCCCATGGTAGGTCACAACTTTCTGTAGCTGCAGTTCCAAGGGGGTCTAATGTCCTCTTCTGGTCTCCAGGAGCACCAGGTATGCACTTGAATACATGCAGGCAAGACACTCATACATATAAGAAGGAAACAAAGATGTGTGTATCTCTGCATCACAGTAAAGAATGCGTTTACTTGGCTTATGTTAGGAAGAATTGATTGGTGTTTGTTTTTAGTTTTGAGAGGATTTCACTGTGTATCCCTGGCTGGCCTCAAACTCAAAAGTTCTGCCTGCCTCTGGAGAGAACCAAAGGTGTGTGTGTGTCCCCCCCATGCTCAAAGTAAAGAGCTTTGTTTCAGTTTACTGTTCTGGATTTTAGGTGCAGCATAGGGTAACCCAGTTAGTTGGGACCTTTGATTCCAATGGCATATCATGGTGGTAGTGAGTATCAGCATGCGAGCTCATCTCTGAGACAGACAGCAAGAGACAGGGAAAATGGACCCGAGCCCCACAGTCCCCTTGAAGGACTTTGCGGTCAGATCCCACAGCTCCTTATGAGGAAACGTTCACAGTGACCTAAGATTTCTCCTAAGGCCCCATCTCCTAGAGGTCCACTGTACTTCCTAATAGTGTCACCATGGGATCCCCACCTTTGACATAGGAGCATCTGGGGGTACTACCTTTTTCCAAACTGTAGAGTAGTTCAGAGGATACAATCTGTTTTAGCCTGGCAAACTTGCTGCTGCTTAGCTCTGTAAGTTAGTCTCGGGCACTCACCGGTAGTGGTGACTTCGTTTCTGATGTGTTTCCCCAGGAAGCCTGCCTGGAAAGACGGGTCCACTGCCACGTGTGTCCTGGCTGTGGACAACATCCTGTATATCGCCAACCTTGGAGATAGTCGGGTATGTGGCTCTGAGCCACCTGCTTAGGTGACAGCATGTCTCAAGGAGAGAACTTCAGCAAGTTAAAGTGTTGGTGGCTGGTTGGGCCTTCTAGTGGGGTTGCTGCAAGGAGTGTTCCAGTGTGCTCCTGGGAAGGAATCAACAGCTGAGCAAGGACAGTCTGTTCTCCCAGAGGACCCTGAACTGTTTTAACACCGAGATCCAGTCCCCGCCCCCTTATGGTTTTGTTTTTTCTTTTTTGCATACTGTTAAGTGATGCTGTGGTTTGGAGTGAAATCAGTGTGCAAGTAACTTAGACCCTCCTTTTTCTGACATAGTTGGTATTGAATGAAAGTATTAACTCCACCTTTCCGAAGCGTTTTTACTGCAGAATAGCTTGAAAGCTCTGAAAGGGAAGTACATCACTAGGGATGCAGCTGTAAACTGAGGTGACAGCCTGTTCTCAGGGAGCTTATGTTCCTGGGAGCCTCTGTAGTCAAGTTCTAGTATATGAGTGTTTAGAACAAGTGACTCAAGCCAGAACAGGAGGAAAAATATGTCATTCCTTTCCCCCCACCCCCACCTCCCCCCAAATTATTCAAGCCAGACCCAGTCTGAACCCTGGTTCTTTATGTGACTTTAGGCAAATCCCTCCTCTGGGCTTTAGTGTCTTCTGTGAAACAGACACAGTAGCCATGGTCCTAGGAGCACACAGGGAACGATGCTTGCTCGTCCATATCCTCACCTCTCATAGGTGAACTCACAGACTTCTGACTTTGACCATCGGATTTGTTAAATGCCTCCTGTCTTTGGCACTGATGCCACTGACAATGGCCATTTGAGAGATTGGCTTCAGTCAGCCAGCAAGGCTTATGCCAGAATTGATACCAAAATTGGGGGTTTCTTACCATGAGAATGAGAAAAACATTCCTATTTGCTATTTCTTTGATTCTGGATTCTCTGAGCTTCTTTATGTCAGTAGGCAGCTGAGGGTGAAGTCACTGTAAGTCTCCATTCAACAGAGTCCTAGATGCTGCTCACTGAATTCCATGGTTTGTGATCTCTTTCTTCCCAGGCAATCCTGTGTCGTTATAATGAGGAAAGTCAAAAGCATGCAGCCTTAAGCCTCAGCAAAGAGCACAACCCAACTCAGTATGAAGAGCGCATGAGGATACAGAAGGCTGGAGGGAATGTCAGGTATCTGGGGCACTTACGGGAGCCCCCAGGAACTCAGGCCTCCACACACTCGAGGATTAATGTGCATAGTAAGGCCTGCTCTCAGGTCTGGTGGTGCCTATGGATAGCTCAGTTCATCTCTGTCTCAGTAAAGGTAGACAGTGTATCCCTGGCTGAACAGAAAAATAAAATTTGTCTCAAGTCAATTCTTAACCACTAACTATTTTCAGTGTTCTGGGAAGCTTCGCTCATACTGTCCTTGTTTGGTGTTTGAACAGGGTCTCATCTAGCCCAGGCTGGCCTCACTCCAGTCTATAGCCAGAGCTGGCCTTAAACTCCTGATTTTCCTGCCTCCAGCTCCTCACTGCTGGAATTATTGGCCTGCCTTAGCATGCCCAGTTTATATACTGCCCTCTGTGGCACTGAATAAATTAGAGTTTCTAGAGAGAATCTCTAGTGGTTAGTAGACCAGATTCAGAGCTAGAAATGGGAATACTTGTAGTTTCAGGTACTTGGGAGGTTGAAACAGGAGAGTATTTGAGTTTAGGAGTTCAAGGTCTACCTGCACAATGTGGTGAGGCACTCTCTCAAAAATTAGTTAATAAAGGACACCTTCAGAATCTGCTGTTGCTGACACAGAGGGTTACATCTTGCTGCTGTGTCTCCTCAGTTCACTCACCACTGTCTTCGAAGGCCATGTGACTAGAGTCATCACTTGTGGGTTAAATGAAGACTTCATTCTTCCACTTCACAAACATTACCTTCTAAATATGACCACAAGTGTTTTCTGGTTCTTTCTGTAATTTGTCCTTTAAGGTTTTTTGTTCTGTTGGATATACATGTTCAAAAAAATCTACTTTTAGCTAAGCTTCTAAGATGTTTTGAATTTGAAGTTTGAAGTCTTTCTCTTCTATAAGTTGTATGAGAGCTGTGAGTCTTTGTGTATTGCCTGTGGGGGTAGAGAGAGGCAGCCACTGTGGAAACTGCAGTTCTTCCAGGTTACATGGGGTCACACAGGACTCAGCACCAGATTTCCTATACACCAGCAGTTCCCAACCCGTGGGTCATGCATGATCCCTTTGGGCTGTTGAACAACCCTTTCAGAGGGGTCTCATATCAGATATTTGCATTACGGTTCATAACAGTATGAAAATTACAGTTATGAAGTAGCAACAAAATAATTATATGGTTAGGGGTCACCACAACATGAGGAACTGTATTAAAGGGTTTCAGCATTAGGAAGGTTGAGACCCACTGCTACATCTCAACAGTAGCCACAAGGGGGCAGCAGTGTGGTGTCCATTGACAGATGACATAAAGACTAGCCTCTTACTAGTACATGTTCATTACAATGAAGGCAGTGTGCAGCAGGCGTTCCTATGGGAGCATGAAAAGAGGTTTGCTTTTCTTTTGCAAGGAAGGGCCTGGCCTGGCAGGCTTGCTGAAGCCTGATGTTGCAATCCATCAGCATCAGGCACCTGGGACTGGGCTAAGTTACAGCATCATGGTCCTCGGGGACCAGAGCTTATAGTTGTCTATAACTAGTATTCACACACTGGCTTTGGGCTTCTGCTGTTCTCCAGGGTGGAGCATTCTTCCCCTTTTCCCACATGCTAAAGAGATGTCAGTGGTCTTCTATTCTCTTCAGCAGCCAGATGAGCCCCAGGCCCAGGAAGAGCCAGAGTCTGAGCTCATGAGAGCTGGAGTAGGAAGGCTCTGCGAAAAGGTTCTCTCATGGCTCTTAAGATTGGGGCTGCTTCCTCTATGGGAACTCCCAAGCTGAGCACCCCCACTCTTCCTGTTCAATACTGCTCTCAGGCACTTTCATTACTCCAGTTCTGTTTAATAATTTGTATTCTAGAATGCTCTGTTTTTCCCAGGGGCCAGCAGAAGTCTTTAGGGATTAAAAAAACATTCATTCAGGGCAGCTGAACTGAGTCACTGGGGGTGTAAGGCTAGGCTGAGTCCTGCCTCCAGAACTGTAGCACCGGCCCAGGAGGAGCTTCCTGTCCCACCTGTCTATCTGTACAGCGTCTCATTTGTGACTTAGGAAGCTTGGGGATACTAAACCGCCACGCTGCTTTGGCATTTAGTACATCTTAAACGTGATGGCCTTAGAGCCCAGGGAGTCAATCTGAGCCTGGCTGGCATGGTTCTGGGGGCAGTGGCACTCCACACTGGTTCCCTTTGATCATAGTGTCTGCCTAAGGTACCTTTTCTAGTTACAGGTCACCTGTTTTTTTTCTCTCACAAAAAAATGTGAGATTATAGTCCTGCTGATGTGAAAGTGCAAGTGCTTCAGCAGCTAGGGGTCGGAGCTCAGCTAGCTTCCGAGCCGCGCTTCAACAGGTAGACTCCTTACCATCCTCTTTCCTGGCCACCTTCACATAGGCTGTGTGCGGAGTCATTTAAGGGGCTTAGGACTCATGTCATCTTGTGAGAATAACTGGGCATGGGAGGTTGGGGAGGGGGTACAGGCATTGTGATGACATTCACCATTGCGTCCATCGACAGTTAGGTTGGATGGTGCCCATCGCTGCTGCCAGAGTATAGCTGTGTAGTCCCCATCCCTGAGGGAGCACGACCTGAATGACCTAGGTTTGTGTCTGTGTCTCACCTGAGATAAAGAAATGTTAGGCTACCTGAGTGCCTTTGATCCCAGCACTCAGGGCAGAGTCAAGTGGATCTCTTGAGAGGCCAGTCTGCTCTACACCATGAGTACCAGGACAGCCAGGACTACACAAAAACCCCATCTCAAAAACTAAATAAAAAGAAATGTCAGACTCAGCTATCATGGACTCTCAGTTTCTGCTTTCAGGGCCCTGTGACCAGTCAAGTGAGAGTCTGACATTGTTCCCCTCATTTTAGAGATGGGCGTGTCTTGGGTGTGTTGGAGGTATCTCGTTCCATTGGAGATGGGCAGTACAAGCGTTGTGGAGTCACATCTGTACCTGATATCAGACGCTGCCAGCTGACCCCCAATGACAGGTAAAAGTGTGGGTGTGCACATACAGGGGCTTGTTTCTCTTGCTGACTTTGCTCAGATCTGTGTTCAGCCTTTGCTGGGGGAAGCTGGGGAGAGGTATGCATTGTGCCTGGCCCTAGGAGTGCAGAGACAGACTCCTGTGGGTTCTGGTTTTACGGGGTCCATGATGGTCAGGAAGCGGATGAGATGGATACTTGCTTTATCACAGGCATGTAGGAGTTGTGCTAGGAGTCTTTACTGTGGGGAGAGGCATCCATTCCAGAGGGACTGTCCAGACCACGTCAACTCATTCAAGTACAGCATGAAACAGCCAGGTCTATGCTAGCAATAGTGGCTAAGGACTTGGTGGACTGAGTGGGAAGTGGGAAGAAGTTCTGGGCACAGACTGAGCAGGATCTGTGCGGTTGCCAAGGCATTTGTGTTTTAGCTTACAAATGTAGAAAATCATAGGATCAAGGCCTGAGTGGCTGAGAAAGACTTCCTGTTCAGGAATCTCTTGTTGGAGGTAGATCAAGACCAGGCACAGGCTTGTGAGGGTAGCACAGGGAACCTAGGAAGAGTGGTTAAGGGCTAGGCAACAGGCAGGGAGCTCTCCTGACCCTAGCAGGATGGAAGGCTGAGCCAAACTATGAGCAAAAGGAATGGAAGGAGCCCAGGGAAACAGGACTGAGGTGAAGGAGGGGGCAGGTGGCTGAGAGTAGAGGCCACATGGCAGCCTCTAGGCACAGCTCCCAGGCCTGTTGGGAAGAGCCATGCTCTGACACCTGCCTGCCTGCGCCATGTTGTCAATTATCCTGGGGTCTTGGAGTGTGTTTCTGGAGGCCCCTTGTAGGGTTATGGCCTTCTCTGCCCTAGATTAGGACAGGTCAGCTGCCTGGTCTCTTCTCTGCTCTCAAAGAATGGCACCTTAGGGACAACCATGACATCAGCAGTGTGTAGTGGCAGTGCTAAGACATGTCTGTGTGACTTACTATTCTGAGTTTGACTGAAATATACTGGAAAGCATAGCCTGCTTAGACTTGTCCCCACCATATCCCACCCTCAGGTTGTGTGGTCACAAAATGTGGCTAGATATGTGACCTACCAGAAGATGGAGACTCTGGACAGGATAGGAAACAAAGGCAGGTAGCTATCTTAAAGCCAGGCCAAGAGAACAGTGGCTTCCACAACAAAACATAGATTCTCAGAGGCTTCCTCTGGGCATCTCGGGGACAGTGAGCTGTGTTCAGACCAGAAAGGGATATCCACTCTAGGATCTCAGACCCTTAGCAGTGAAGCATCACCTAAGGATGCCTCCCTTAGGATGTTTGCCCTTCGTTCTCCATCCTTGGGCCTGTGGTGGATCATAGGTATGTTCACTACATACCTGCTGTCATGGTTGTCCCTGTGGTACCAGAATGCAGCATCTCATGCTGAGGTCTCTGTGATTCTATTTATGGGTGGGAAATGTCCCTCTTGTGGTATACAGCATCCCTCCTTAAATCACAACTCAAAGAGTTTCAGCTTTCTTACACAAATTCTATTGCCTTAAAATTTTCTTGGCCACTGAATTGTTGGACAGGCGCAGTGCTACTGGTTTGGTTTTGAGGATTTTTGTTTTATTTGGTTGATTGATTTGTTTGTTTGTTTAATGTGCATTGGTGGTTTGCCTGCAAGTATGTCTGTGTGAGGGTGTCAGATCCTGGAGTTACAGTTGTGAGCTGTCAAGTGGGTGCTGGGAATTGAACCTGGGTTCTCTGGAAGATCAGTCAGTACTCCCAACCACGAAGCCATTTCTCCAGCTCCTTGTTTTATTTTTCGAGACAGGGTCTCACTGTATACACCAGGCTGGCCTCAAGGTCTACCTGCCTCTGACTCCTGAGTACTGGGACTAAAGGCATGCATGACCAAGCTTGGTGGGTTTGGGTCTTTTGAGACAACATGTCCTTTAGCCCCATTGGTATCAAACTTGGCTGTGTAGCCAGAATGACCTCTCTCCACTTCCAGAGGACTGAGATTACACATATGTGTGCCATTATTTTTATTTTTAGGGTACTGGGTGGAACCAGGGCTTTCCTTAATGTTAGACAGCTAGCCACTCCTCACTGAACTCTCAGGTCACCTTCTGTTCAAGAGCTTGTGCCTGAGACCCTTGTTTCTTCCGTATGCCTTAGGTTCATTTTGCTGGCTTGCGATGGGCTCTTCAAGGTCTTTACCCCAGAAGAAGCTGTGAACTTCATCTTGTCCTGCCTTGAGGTGAGACATCTTAGAGGGTGTGCCACTTGTCTCAGCTGCTCTTTATTTCCATAGCCCCTTGTTCCCTGTGTCAGGAGTCATCTCTAAGCTCGGTCAGCATACGCCCTGTTGTGGCTCTTCCCGGTCACTGACCTGCCAGCCTGTGTTAGGAACAGAGCAGGCCCTGCCCTGGCTGCAGTGTCTTAAGAGAATGACAAGGCTGGTGCCCTGTTCACTCAGATCCCATCCCTTTGGTAGGATGACAAGATCCAGACCCGAGAAGGGAAGCCTGCTGTTGATGCCCGCTATGAAGCTGCATGCAACAGGCTGGCTAACAAGGCAGTGCAGCGGGGCTCGGCAGACAACGTGACGGTGATGGTGGTGAGGATAGGACACTGAGGCCAGCACACTGCACGTGTGCTCTTGACTTGCAGGTTCATTTTGTTTGTGCACGCTGTGTGTACTCCTGTGGGACTTCTATGGTTGTAAATAAAGGTTTCTTTTTTCCTAGTTATTTGAGTGACTAGTCCTGAGTTAACTGTGTTTGCTGTAGAATGTGCTCTGGATCTGTCCTTGTCAGAACCATGATGGACATCTTGGACAAGCTCATGATGACCTGTTAGTAGTTCACAGGCTCTTGCTCTCACTGTGACCCCTTTGGGGAAGTAGGACCTTGCAGTAGGATGACAGGGTGATAATCGGGCTCCGTACAGAGCACATGTTGTACATTTCTGGCGGGAGCCCAGGTGTGGCTGAAGTGGGGTCCATGGATGAATTTACCACATGGCATGCCAGTCTCACCAGGTCCCTAGACATCCACAGTCAGCTCGCTCCTGTTCCCCTGAAGTGGGCCCTGGGAGGAGGACTGTCGTCCTGGCTTTCACTCAGCTGTCACCACCCATCCACCATAGCATCAAACTCACGGTCAGTCTCAGGACAACTGAGTGCTTGGCTCTGCTGCCTGAGTGGATGGTCTAACCCATGGCAGGGAGCCTCTTGGCATGATTGGCCCCCAAAGAACCTTCTAACCTGTCTCCAAACACCTTCTGGGGCCATTTAGTGAAGAGCTCTTGCAGATTTTGTATAAACACTGGCTGGGGCTGTAGTACTGCACAGCTGCCTTTCCAGACCTGTTTATCATAGACACTGTCCTCCTCCTCCTCCTCCTCCTCCTCCTCCTCCTCCTCCTCCTCTTCCTCCTCCTCCTCCTTTTCCATAGCCATGCCGCCTACTGGCCAGCTAGAAAGTGTGCTGTGGATATGGATGCTACAAGGACCTCAGAATATCCTGTACAAACCATAGATGACTTCTTAGGGTCTGCCATGGAAAAGCCATAAATAGAAAAGACCAGCCTGGGTTACACAGTAAGACCTGTCTCAAAACCCCACTGAGGGCTGAAGACGCATCTTGGTAGAGAGCTTTCCTAGCTTGCTTAGAATCCTGGGCTCCATCACCATAAACCAGGCATGGCAGTACATTCTTATAGCCCCAACACTTGGTTAGACACAGGAAGATCAGAATTGGAAGGCCACCCTCCTCTATAGCCAGTTTGAGGCCAGCCTGGGATACCTGAGACACAGTCTTAAAAACAAACAAACAAAAAAACCCTAGGGAGGGGGTCGAGCTGGAGTCAGCTCATTTGGTGAAATTGCTTGCCATTCATGAGGGCCTGAATTTAATTTCTAGCATCCACTGAAAAGCCAAGTGTGGTGTCACGCAGCTTATAATCCTATTTCCGTATAAGCCCTGGAATGGTGGGAACAGGCAGAGCCTCGGACCTTGCTTCTTGGACCTAGTGAGATCCTATCCCCATAAAACAAAGTGGTTGGCTCCCGAGGAACACCCTAGGTTGACATCTGCACATACCACATACAAAGAAGAGGAATAAAATCTTTTCAAAATAACACTGTGGGCCCAGTGAGCTTGTTCAGCTGCTAAAGGCACTTCCTGCCAAGCATAAGCACTCAAATTCAGTCTCTAGGATCTATAAAGTAAGAGGACCAACTGTTGTGGTTGTCATCTGATCTGCGTATCTACCTCCCAAATAAATGCAATTCAAATAAATTTTAAGTAACTTCAAGAGCATCAGTGCTACACCATCCACAGGGAATAAGGGGCAGCAATCCTGCTCAGAGACTAGGACCTAGACAGCCTGGCATACAGAAACAACACCAACTCATCAGAAAGCAAAACGGTTTAATTCAGCAATCTCTTATAGCAACCCAGGAATCATTCAGTGCCCCATAGGCTGTGACCCATGCCCCAAGTGCTTCAGTCTGGAAGACTCTTGGCACTGTGGCCTTCCTGGTTAGTAAGAGCCTCTCCTGCTACCTTCAGTAGGAGTCCCAAGACTAAAGGCATTTCTGCCTTGCTTTCCAGAGCTTACCCCTCACGGTCTTTGGTGAGGTGAGCTGGAAAGAGGTCATGCTTCTCAGGTCTGCCCCTCATTGCTACGACTTTGTGTGATCTGTTACATAAACACATTCTGCCTAGCAATATGACACAATAAATACTTTTAAGTTGCTGGGTAACACAGTTGTTGGAAGGTAAGATATGTGCTTATGTGGCTTTCTCAAGGGTAGAAGATAATGTCACTAACATGTCTGTGCCCACTGGATACAAAGTGGAATCCAGAAAAGGGTGGGGTGTGTCCACCTCATGTCCTTATCAGAGTGCCAGGGAGCCAGGACCCGGGCCAGCACAGTGCTTCCTGGTAGGGTGGGTACCAGCCCTACTGAGAATCAGGCCAGGCCTGCTCATGGACAGCCCTCCAGTCACCTGTTGCTCTGTGTTGGCAGCCTGATTTGGGGACAGGTCTGATTATAGAAGGGCATTCTGATGTGGTAGCCTCATCCTGGCGTTAGCTGAAAGATGAAGCAGCTGGCAGCTATCTCCTCCATCTCAGGCTTGAACACTCCCACTAGGCCAAGAGATCCCAAAGCAGCTGGTGGGAATGGATGTGCTGGTTGTCAGCTCTTTTTCATCAGCAGGCCATCAGACTTGGAGGACCAAGTCCTCTCCACTGCCTGTTAGGGGCTGGCCCCACATTTCGTTAAAAACCGGAAGACTACTGAAACAAGCTGCAGGCTGGCAGCCCTGCAACTTCTCATGGAAAGAGCCCTTAGCCAGCTTCCTCATCACCAAAGACCACCCCCTTTGCAACGGAGTCTCAGGAGGGAAACTTGTGAGCAGGTGCCTGTATGCATAACTATGCTCAAATTTTAGTTTAGTATGTAGGCCCTAGCAGTGAGCCAGAGCCTCAGAGGGATTGGGAAGTTGGCTGGTAGCCTTTGTAGAGGATAAAGATGGCCTTGTCTGTGAAAGGGATGGCAGAGGGGTACAGCTCCAATATGTTAGGGTGCTAATCAGGTTCCTGCAGTTCATCTTGCTTACTCCAGAAGCAGAAACTGCTGCCAGGCCCAGGATCACTGGCCCCTGAAGTCCCTAGGTCCCTGAGGCTGTACTCTAGGCAGAGACATAGACAATGCTCCAGGATTGGAACCCAGGTAGACACTGTATGGTCCAAGAAGGCCTGGGATTCCCTCTTAAGCACTAAGGACCTGCAGTCATTTCTCTATAGCTCTGCCCTGTGCAGTCTGAGATGTTCCAGGTAGTGAGTGGCCTGGCTAGTATACTGGGCCACAGGAAAGAGTTTGAGCTGTATAGAGCTACCAGGATGCCAGCTCTGCAGCTGGGGATATAGCAAGTGCTACCATGTATGCGGAGTGGTCCCAGAAGAGCCAAGCAGGGCTTATGATATTCACAAGTTGCTGCTGGTTCTGGGAGAGCCTGCTTCCATCACCTCTGCAGGAATGCAGTGGCCGTGCTAAGAGGTATTGTGATGGCCAGTGTGTGCAGAGGCCCAGTGGGCTTCCTTGTGCATGGAGCCACTGTCACCACTCTGGTAAGGGTAAGAGCCTGCAGCAGCTACTCACAGGCCCAGGAGGATAGCACTGAAGTGAGAGCCACTGCGTACCGTGAGGGAGGAGCCGCTGGCATTGTCCAAGAAGACAGAGGTGTAGTGTCCTGTCTGCAGGGAAGAACATATGTCAGTTATTTGGCCCTGCAGCAGAGACCCTAGGCAGCCTGCAGTGCTCAACTTGAGTCATGTCCATACTATGGCCTACTCTGCCCCATGTGGGAGAAGACCACACCTAAGTTCAGAGCCAGTGTTGGATAGTTTCGCATTCAGACCCAGTACATCTGGCTCTTACCCTATTCTCTAGTGTTTCCATCTCAGTATATGTGAGCAAGCTTCTGGGCCCAGGTCAGGTTTAAGAGGTGAGCAGGTTCCTCTGCCACAGAGCTTGTCTCAGGCCTGCTGGGGCCTGTAGAGCCATCATGAACACTAATTACTCTGCTGTGGCTGCCCCAATGTAGTCTACATATCCTTGGCATCACTATTCCCTGGAAATTGCCAGAGTAAGGACTGAGATCCACTCAGGGAAGTTGCTTCTGAGGACCCACATGTAGTAAGTACCCTTTGATTTCAGTGGAACTCATGCTTCTAGTACCACACAGCTGGCCTGAGCCAAGCCCCCCACCCTGGAGCTCAGCAAAACTGTATGAGCACTGCACACACCTCTTCACTTTCTAGTAAATCCCAGCCATAGTGACAAAAGAGACTGCCTCCCACAGTCCCAGGGGCTCAGACCTCATCAAGTTCTGTGACCCCCCACCCCCTTCCTGGCCATGGAGGGCCTAGGTGGCTGGAAACACCTGTCTGTCACATTATCAGATTCTTGGAAGGTCTGAAAAGTGAAACTATTGTCCCACCAACACAGGCTGGGGGACAAGAGTTGGAGGGAGAGAATGGGACCTGAAGCTCGGCTCTTCTTAAGCCAGCATCAGCACTTGGGTGGGTCTGAGGCCCTGAGCACCTGCCAACACGCCCCACACTTCCTACCTCCATGGTCAGCATAGCCCCACACACCTGTAGATAGAGGACACCGTTTGCTGAGATGGTGAAGAGCTCACTGCTATTCTCCAGCCCCATCACAGTCTCCAGGGAGCTGCACCCAAGACAGAAAGAGGGTCAGCCTGTCTGAGGCCTCACCAGCTTCACTCTGCACTCAGCAGCAATCGTTCAGTGGTCAACACCATAAGCAGTAAAGTGCTAGGAGGTGGTACTTGAACCTGGGTCCTCAGGAGGAATGACAGGAAAGGCCAGATCCATGCAAGGCCACAAAGGCCTGGATGTCCAATGGGAAATAGGTACAGGCCAAGATGGGAGGCAATAGGTGACAGAAAACCAACAGATTCAGAAAGTCCAAAGCCAGCTTAAGTCTTGAGAAACACCTCCCTATTCATTGACACCTCCTCCAACTATGCAGAGCACCTGCCCTATGCCTGGCCTCCATTCCAGGTACCAGACAGGGTCACAGTCCCTGTTCCCATGGACCAAATGAGGCACTTGGGGTGGACACCCCCAGCAATAAGCAATAAAAGTCCTTGGAGCAAATTCACAGGTGAGGAGTGGGAGAGTGACCAAAGAAAGGCTTGTGAGTTCCACAAAGACCCCTACAGGTATGGCTCTCCCTGTCCTCTGAAGAATGCGACCTGGAGTCAGGAGGGTCGGGAAGGAGGCAAAACAGGGAAGGGCCTCTCCTACGGGTCCTGAGAAGGAGTTAGGGTAGGATGGGGTTGAGGTTCCCCCATTCCCCGATGGTAGTAGAAATGGAGGAGGGTCTTTACATTAGAAAGGGCCAGGCAGCAGCGCACACTCACGCGTTGTGCTGGCAGAGAGACTGGATGCAGATCAGCAGGCGCAGACGGTCCCTGGGTCGCGGTGGTCCCTTTCTCGGCTGCTCGGTGAGTGCTGCGGAGAGAACAGGTCATGGTGGTCACGTGCACCCTGGCAGGGCCAGGGCAGCGGGTGGTCCCTCCCATCGCCATACCCCAGACCTCACCCACGTGCAGAGTGGCAGTGAGCGCATAGAAGCCAGCCACGGGTGCGGTGTACTGGCCGCTGGTCAGGTTCAAGCCTGGGCCCCGGCGGAAGGCTCCCTCAACTTCTGGCTACGGAGCACACAGAGGAGGTCACTCTAGCTCCCACCCTGATCCACCCAGCCAGTGGCGTCCCCACTCACCAGGTAGTAGACCCCGAGTTCGTGTAGCGCACGCCGCTCCACCTGCACATCCCGGCGCAAGCGACAGTGGAACGCAGCCTCCACACGTGGTGCCCGTGGGCCCTGGGCCAAGGTCGCAGCCAGCAGAGCTAACATGGCCCCTGGGTCCTGGCCATCAAGCTCCTGGGTGCCTGGGACACGGGAAGGGCTGTCCGAGGCTGGTGTAGTGACATCCCTGGTGCAGTGCTCCGGATCGGTGCTCTCTCGCTGCCGTACCGCACCTGACAGAAAGCGGTCCGTGGGCCACTCTGCTCACCAGCCCGTGGCCTTAGAGCGTGGAGACAGAGACTGGCGGTCCTGGGGACATTACTGCCTGACCTGGCAGCTGCCAGTTTCCCTTCACACTATCTGACACAAGCTCCAGCAGGTGCAGATCCAGCACCCAGCACCCTTATCCTCTAGCCTCATACCCGTATTTTGGGGAAAGTTGTATATAAATACCTATTGTGGCTACACTGGAAGAAACACACAGGTTCATCACCCTCTGGAAGCTTATTTAAAACCAAATGAGCCATGGTATGGAAGCAGGGAAAAGCTCCTAGCAGTTCTCCATGGTACAGTCAATTGCAGAAGATAGTGACAGCCATTCCCCAGCAGCAGTGAAGAACAATAAAAAGGCCTTCCTCTGGGAGGCTTCTACCTGCTACATGTCTCCCACCCACTGTCCCGCCCCCATGACAGGTTGGGCTCCAGGCAACATAGCAGTGTTTGCTGGGTGCTGAACTTTACCCTCTAGAGATGCCCTGCTGGTTTACCTGCACCAGAACATGTGCCCACAGGGTGGCACCCTTACCTTTCAACAACAGCCGGAACTCCTTCAGCAGATCCTCAGATGGAATAAAGGGGCCTGGAGGGCCCTGAGGACCTGGTGGCCCTGGGGGTCCTGGCAGGCCAAGCTGGAAGGGAAGGTAGGTATGAAGAACATTTGAGGGGACTGTCTGGCTGACCCCTCTGCCAGGTCCTACAGGAAGGCAGGCAGGAGAGCTCCCACCTTGCCTGTGGGCTCTTCTCTCCTTGGTGGAGGTCCTTAGGGCTCTCATACTCCTCTGTCAAGTATGAAAGCCACAGGCAAGAATGGGCTTATGCAGATGTGGAGCTCACTAGGGGCTGTACAGGGCATGGCGGGCGGGCTTTATATGCAGATGTGGACCTCACTAGGGGCTGTACAGGGCATGGTGGGCGGGCTTTATATGCAGATGTGGAGCTCACTAGGGGCTGTACAGGGCATGGCGGGTGGCCTTTATATGCAGAAGAGCCCTACAGCTGCCTCTCTGGATGTGAATCCCAGATAAAGGACCACCCCAGGCTGCTTCTGGGGACTTGTATCTCAGTTTGACATGGGACATAACAGCAAGACCCCCCCCCAACCCCCGACGGAGTTTATACTGGTCTGGGTCAGGACCTAAGGAAAGGAAGCAAGCTCCTGCACGGAGAAGCCTGACAAGGTCAGGTGGCCTAAGGGTGCAGGGCCAACCCCTCCCCCCTCTCAGGCCCAGCGGGTCATATCCTGGACAGGTAAGGCTGACCCTCAATAGAGAAACCCAACACACGGTGAAGCCCAGCCTTGATCCAGAGTTACTTAGAGGAACTCAATGCAGGAGTCAGCCATCAGGTCCAAGTGCCAGCTTCCCACCCAGGCCAGGGCCATACTGAGATGCTCCCATCCTGTGTCATTCCAACAGCCTGAAGCTACCCCATCTCCTAAGCATATGTTGGGCAAGCCTCTTCCTCTGGCCATGAAGGAAAATCTAGGGAGGACCTGGCATCCTGAGGGTACGGAGTGAAGGGTATGGGGCTCCAAACTCCCAACTCACTGGACCCCAGCTGCATACTTGGTCCTGTGTGTCTTTCCATGGCGTCTGCTGTTGGAGACAAGGGTACCAGAGGGGTCATGGGAGTGGGGTGGGCACAGGCTGCTCACCTTCAGCCTCCTGGCTTTGGTCCTGCTCCTCTTCTTACTGTTGATGCCCTTGTCACTCTGCTTGACAAACAGCATCCAAGCGTCCCGGGGATCCACACTGTGTGCATGTGCAATGGTGGGCTCCTGGAACAGATGGCCACAGTTGGTTTGCTTGGTGGCACCTGGCCCTTGTCACCTGTGTCCTCAGAGGTAGTGTTCTCCCTATCCCCAACCCATGGAGGGGGAGAGCCCAGGCTGCAGGAAGGTTCCAGAGCAGGTGCTCTGGGATCTATCTTCTTGCTCTTCCTTGAGTGTCACCATCCTTGACAGTCACTGGCATCCACAGTTGCTTAGGAGATGACTGTGAACATGTGAATACTGGCTGACAACAGGTCCTTTTGTCCCTTCCCACAGTCAGAAGTGTCGAGGAGACCAGCCTCGGGGCCACTGTGGTCACGGGTCATGGGGAACGGTGGGGCAGAGAGGCCAGGTGTTATGACTCTAAGCCACTGTGTGGAACCTTTACCTTTCTCAGCACTTCTAAAACACTGGCCCCAGGAGCCAAGCTCTGAGAGTAGCCTTGTTTCCTGGCAGAGGCCTTTGGCAAATAGAACAGTCAATGGGCTTTGAATGGTCTGGGTTCCATGTAGGGCCACCAGCTAGGAAGGCAATAGTTCAAGAAGCCTTAGAAGAAGTCATGGGCACAGACTCTAGTGTCTAATAGAAAGACCCAGGATCTCAGAACGACTCAAACCAGTATCTTGTGGGTCACAGGCCAGGCTGCTGTGTTGGGAGGATGGAGGCTTCTGTGCTTCTTGCTGGTCTGATGCCCTCAGTGGAAACCCATGATGCAGAGCTTTCTACTATAGGTCAGAACAGGTGTACTGACCCTTCCATACCCTTCTGTGTATGGACTCAGAAAACTGTTGGCTTGAGGGCAGCACCAATATACATGGAGCCATGTTGGTCCGGGGCTCCAGGAGTTGGAATGGGAGCTGGGTTCCAGCTATCAGGGAGCTGATGACACCTGATATTCCCAAAGAGGGTCCAAGACCAAAACTCCACTGGGAAGTTCCCGCCTACTCTCCGCTTCCTGATGATAATGTCTTGACCTCTTGAAGTTTTGAAGGCTGATGACTGGGTTTTCGGGGAGGCTGCCGACATCAGGGGCATTTGTACTCCGATCAAAGGAGGCAGAAATGGGATGGTGGAAGGACCCAGAGATACCGTGCACAGGAAGGTATTGTAACCATCCCCAGCTGTCTTAGTGGATCTTTTGTTGGCCCCTGGGGTGCTGAGGACCGAAGAGCTCTGGCCTGGGGTTTCCTTGTGCCTGGCCCATAGCATGGGCGAATAATTAGACCCTGAAATTCTTCCATGAGCCCTCACCAACAGGACTGACCCGCTCAAAGAAGGCTACCAATCCGCCCTCCCCAGATCTCTGGCCACACCCTCCCCAGCCTGCGTCTCCACCCCAGCAATTCAGGTGGAGATCCTGGGAGGGATCACGGGCAGAGCCTGGTTACATCACTCCTTTCCCAGACGCAGTCACCTAACAAAAAGGAACCAGATCTGAGAGCCCTGCTCTCCCACCAGTCTTACAGTTTCACGAGCAACGGGTTGACTGCATTTCACACCTTTCCCAATCTCTCCTACTGGCCTAGTGGAATTCTGCCGCCAAAGCCTCGGTACAGAGGACGCGTCCACCCAACCCTGGGGTCTCACTGAGGCCCTGAGAGCGGCGTATCCCCAGTGTTGGACACTGCGCAGCAAGGGGTGCCACTTTCCCCACCGTCTCAGAACCCCCGGGACAGGAAGATGTGGGGCGCGGCTGCGTCTTACCGGCGGGCTGTGGGCTGGCGGGGCAGGTAGCTCGGCCCCGGGAGGCTGCGGTCGTGCATGAGTCCCCACGGGCTCGGCGGATTCCGGGACACCGAGGCCCATGGCGGCGAGCAGGCTGGCGCAAGCGAGCAGCGTGCGCGCTCCGACGGGGCTGCGGGTCGAGGCCATGCTGGCGGCGGCGGCAGCAACGAGCACGGCTGGTCAGGTCGGCGCCTTATAACGCGCTTGAATCCCCCGCCTCGCGCGCGCCGCCCTCACTGCCGTCGCCCCCTTGCGGCTAGGGCACGCTCTGCAGGCACAGGGGACCCCAAGAGGAGGCGGGCGCCCGATCCGGTCCCTGCAGGCCTCCACTTGCTGCTTGCATCTGCCCTACTGAAGCCCAGGGTCAGTGTCTCCTCTCCTAGCCCTGCACCTACGGCTCTCTAAGACCCCCTTTTCTCTAAGGACACCCACTTAACCATTCTGCGTGTCTTCTGAGTCCCACAGGCTCCCTTCTAGTCTCTTGATTCCAGGCCTGGGTGACACAGGTTGAGTACCCGAGAGTATAGCAACCCTCATGGGTCCTCCTTTTCAAGCAGGGGAACCTGGAGCTCTTGTAAGGTTTTCCTGGGGCCTCTCAGACTTCAGCTACTGAGTCTGCTACTAACAGCTACAGAGAACTGACCCAGGCTGCCTGATCCCTCTGATGTCCTAAGCCAGGTGTGGGGGGCAGATGGAGCTCAGACTGCCCACTGCCCACCACGGGGCATTCAGCCAGGATAGATGTGGCAAACCCTAAAGGCCGATCTGGGAGGAGGCCTCCTCTGGGTGGTGCTCCTCTAAAGAGGCAGACCTACTCTGCCTTGGGCTGATGTCATGACATTGGCTCGAGAAAAAGCAGTACACCTGGGTTTCTTTGTTTGCTTGCTTGATTTGTTTTAATCTTTAATTGTGTGCACAAGATTTATGTGAGTGCAGATGCCCATAAAAGCTAGAGGAGGGAATCCAAAGAAGGGACTTGATTTGGGGAGCATGACCCTAAGATGTCAAGTGACCCTACTCCGTCCACAGCGAGGGCCCCAGCTTCAGCGCTGACAACCAGATCTGTTGCCATGTGAAAGTAGTTATTTTCCCAAACAACGGACTGTCCTAGTGATGTCATGGGTTCTTTCAGAGGGCCCAGATCCAAACAGTTCTGGTACTGGCATGGCTTCCTGGACCCTGGCTCAAGGTAATGACGCAGTCCAGTTCAGGGGCGTGGTCTCCAGAATTCTGGCCATTCAGGAAAGGCTCCTGTATGTTTGCAGGGTCCTATATGAAAACAAGGTCTTCAGGAAGACAGGAGTGGACGGCAGAGCTCACAGGGCACTGAGCATAGATAGGGTCCACAGCCTTGAAAGAGCAGCAGCTCTTATTCAGAAGTGGGACCCTTGAGGGTGGTGTCTGTGTCTGAGTGGACGTGCTGAGTGAGTAGGACCAGGCAGGCAGAGCATCGAGTGACCTCCCCTGTGCCTTCTTGCGTGGCAGAAATCTAATCCTCATTCCTGGGCCCCCATGTCATGGTCTTGACCCAGCTTCCTGGCAGTTCAGTGAGCCAAGTTTTCCCTGTGTCCCTCTTTCTTCAAAGGAAATTGCTGATGAGGTCATGGGCATGAAATCTCCCTTTACTCAAAGACAATGGGAGCCTGCCTGAGACTGAGTAGCTGTGTGGTCTCTAGAGTACCTGCAGATGACCATGGTGTCATTTGCTATGCTTTGCACATGGATGGGCCATCAGTACTCAGATCACATGACTGTCCCTAACATACCAATGAGGAAAATGGGGAATAGAACTTGGGAGCATCAAAGAGTCACCAAACTAAAACATATCCGGGCCCAGTTATCACGTCTTGCAGTCAGAAGCTCTGTAGGGTCTGAGTGCTCCCGGGGTGTGGTGGATTGAGTAAGAATGCCCCCATAGGGTCATATATCTGAATGCTTAGTCATCGGGGAATAGAACCTTTTAAAAGAATTAGAAGGATTAGGAGATGTAGCCTTGTTGGAGGACCTGTGTTACTAGGGGTAGGTTTTGAGGTTTTAAAAGCCCATGTCAGGCTCAGTCTCTCTGGCCTGCAGATCAGGATGGAGCTCTCAGATAACCTCTAGCACCATAAAGGACACTGTGCTCACTTCCATGGTGCTAAGAAACTACGCCTCTGAAACTATAAGGAAACCCCCAGTTAAATGCTTTATTTTTTTCCTGTAAGAATTGCCTTATTTGGGGATGGAGAGATGGCTTAGCAGTTAAGAGTAGACTGCTCTTCCAGAGGTCCTGAGTTCAATTCCCAGCAACCACATGGTGGCTCACAACCATCTGTAATGGGATCTGATGCCCTCTTCTGATGTGTGTCTGAAGATAGCTGCAGTGTATTCATATAAATAAAATAAATAAATCTTAAAAACAAATTGATTTGGTCATGGTGTCTCTTTATAGCATTAGAACACTGACTGAGGCATGGGGGCTCAAGTGCTCTCAGGCTCTGAGTGCTCCTGCAGGGTCTGAGTGCTCCTGCAGGGTCTGGGTGCTCCTGCAGGGTCTGAGTGCTCCTGCAGGGTCTGGGTGCTCCTGCAAGGTCTGAGGGGTTGGAGGGACCTGGGTGCTTCTGTAGGCTCTTTGTGTTATGAGCATTGTTATATCCTAACTAGAAGTCCTCACTAGCTTCAAATGCTGAGTCCTTGTTTCCCTAGGGATTCTGGGGTATGATTCTTGGGGTGCCTTATGTCCATCCCCTGCATTACAGGAGCTCTCCTGAGTATCTGGTGTACTCCAGTCTCTGTGTGTTTTGCTGGTGGCTGTCCCTCTTCCTGGTCACTTTGTACCCCTGGGTGGCTTTAGTGGACTCTGCCAGTATTTTTGCCTTCCCTCCCTAAGTCCTGGTTGCTTTGGTCAGTGGGTGGTTGTCAGGCTGCTAGCAGGAAATGGGGACAGTAGAGTTAGGGACATCACACACACACACACACACACACACACACACACACACAGAGCAGACACTATAACAAAAGCTGTGCTCCCTCTCAGCACCATCTTGGGTCAGCATCTGCCTCTTGCTTGGTCCCTGGAAGCTGGGGGTCAGGATACCCTGGAGTTGCTAGCACCCGGCATCTCCACAGCTCTCACCTGCTGGACACCCTTGAAGCTGGCCCCCAGTTGGAGACTTTATTAGATTCCCAGCTCCCTAGCTGGAAGACCTTTCCTCTTGGAACACCAATTATGACATTGACCCCAGAATGACCAGATAAGGCCCAGTTCAGCAAAGCTGAGAACCATGTGTCTCCCTCTTCTCCAGGACTTCCCCGACTCACACTCATCCAGGGATGCGTAGCCTTTCCAACTCCCCATTTCTAATTAAAGTCAGCTTCACTCTTTCAGCCTTTGCCTTTGGACAGCCCTGGGATGCTCAGGAAAACACTAGAGGACATTCCCCATAGTATAGAGTCCTCAACTGTTTCACGGGATGAGAGCTGCATCCTGACCTGCAGACTGAGAGAGACTGGGCCTGGCATGGGATGGGCTTTTGAAACCTTAAAGCCACACCCCTAATCCTTCTAATCCTTTCAAATAGTTATACTCCCTGATGACTAAGCATTCAACATATATGAGCCTATGGGGATAACTCTTATTCAAACCACCAACACCATGGGAGCATTTAGAGTCCAGGTCTAAGTTCTGTCCTCTTAGAAGTAACACCTCTACTCCCTGCCCTATTTGATCTCTGAATTGGCTCAATGGTCCCAAAGACAAGCATGAAGTCAGGTCTGGGAGCAAAGTGAATCCAGACTTGCAAAATCAGGGCAGAGCCTGGAGTCCGTCCTCAGAACTCAGTGGTGTCAGGAACCAATCTGAGCCCTTGGGCTGGTCCTAGAGAAGAAGTCCGCATGCAATGGGAGCTGGGGGGGCCACTCAAGGCCTCAGTGGGCCCGAAGCTGGTGTTGGCCAGACCAACTGCCAACCTACAGTCTAGGTCCTCAACAGTCTGTGGCAGACAGAGCATGCCCCTCACACACAGTAAGAGTCCTTTATTGTTCGTCTGCTTACAAATCTGGTGCCTTGACTGGAGGAGAGAAAGAGGGGGAAGGGACAAAGGGAGGAAAAGTGACACACAGAGACGTGGAGACTGAGAAATGCATGACCTCATGAAACCGAAGTCTGAGTCATGTTAAATCATATCATGACTGGCAGGAGAGTCCTTCAGACGTTTAGCTCCACCCCATCTAAGCAGACCACCAGAGGCAAGCTTGTGACACACCCCAGGGCCACACCTAGAATCCCTGCAGACCAGGCTGAGGGGTCAGGTGTCAAATACCCTGCATATCAGATGTTAATTCATTTATCAGGTATCCTGCATATCAAATATTTACAGTCATAACAGTAACAAAATTATCGTTACTAAGTAACAGTGAAGACAATTTTATGGTCGGAGGTCACGACAACATGAGGAACTGTATTAAAGGGTCCCAGCATTAGGAAGCTTGAAAACCTCTCTTCTAGAGAATCTTCCACGGTCTCAGTCTCCTGATCTGTACCACATCCCCCTGCCTTCCTAGTGTCTCTTTAGGGGCTGCTTTCCTAGTGTCAGAGGTACCTGTGGTGGGGCAGGACCACCTTCATCCCAGAAGCAGCTATGTAAACACAGTGCCAACACACAGAGGCCAGGGATGGAGACAACCTGGCCTTCATCCAGCCACCCCATGTGAGGTGAATGTGGAATCTGATGAAAGTGGGGACAGAGGAAGCTGTGGGCAAGGTCAAAGGGCATGTCGTGGCATGCTCTAGGCTGGGCATCCAAGCTTGAGGCCCTGGCTCAGTGTTCTGGGTACTCCATTTTAACTCCCCGTTTGCACGTTTTTCCCCCTAAACTGCGGCAGGTAGAGCAAGAAGAGCTGACACCAAGGGGTCTGTTTCCTCTGAGGGTACAGTCCAGGATCCCTCAGCTTCTTTCTCTGAGGTCTTCAAGGACAGCAGAGCTCTCTCCACCACCACGTGAGTTGAGTATCAGGCTCTCACTCTTACAACTGGCGACAAAGTTGGTAGCCCCAGAACTGTGTCATCTGATACCGAGCCCAGGCCATCCCCTGGAGGGGGCAGCAACTCACAGTAAACAGAGGACAAGCACAAAGTGGGTGGTGGTGGCATTCTGCAGGACAATGAGGAGCAGAGCCAGGAACTCCTCCCTCCCTAGTGCTCCTGAGGGGCAGTGGGCCTGAAGGGCTGTGTCCACTTGGAGATGTCCAAAAAGATGGTAGAGGCCCCATGGTAGAGCCAAAGACGGGGAAGGGAGCCATGGCGGGCCCAGGCATCTCTCACAGTGTCATAGGCTTCCATCTCCACATGGTAGTCTCCGTCCATGCCTTGCCAGCGGCCACCCGTCACATACAGCAGGTCACCCAGAGGCACTAATGCACCATTCTCATGTAGGCTGTGCTGAGACTGCACCTGTGGATGGCAGTTATCAGGGGCCAGCGGGCAACGAGAGGGTAGAAACAAGGATGTCCTGGGTGGGGCTGGGGACCACCACCTGACCCCGAATCCCAGAGCTCATCACTGCTTACCGTGGCTATATCAGGTTCTCTTTACCAGCGAGGCCCTGGTCTCTCTCTAACCTACATATAACAGGATGGCTCCTTCAGGCTCTGGAGTCACAGGACTCAAGAAGGGTGCCTAGGTCTGAGCCCAGAGCTGCCTCCAATGAGGTCTCGGTTAAGGCTTGGCTCTCCTGCAACTAACTCTCTTAGAGGAAGCAGATGTACTAGAAAAGGCTGGTGTGGCCTCCACATGAAGGTGACGGCAAGCAGCTGCCCTGCCTGCAGGCCCGACAAAGTCCAAGTAGGACCCATACTACTGGGAGCCCCGCGCAGCTGTGGCTCAGCTGGGAGGCTCAAGGAAGAAGCACCTTGGCAGGGTTTGCTCTGTACCTGCTTGACGGCTATAACGGGGCTTCCGGTCAGTGGGACAGCAAAGCTAGAGGGCAGCTGTGGGCAAGAGGACACAGTGGGGCTGCCATTTCCAGGTGACTGGTGGCTGGGAGCAGAGGGGGTTCCCATTTCATCAGACTCCTGGGACTGAGAATCTCAAGGTAAGTGGACTGACTCAGATCATCCAGCTTAGAACTGAGGAGAAAGGCCAGGGCTCTGGGCTGCCCAGGCTGGCATCTGGACCTGCTGAATTCCCACCCTTTCCTGGGCCTGAAGAACAGGGGCAGGGAGGGGAGACAGCTGCTCCTCACTCCTCACAGGATCCACCTGCTTGGCGTGATCTCCGGAGCGGGATGCTCACTACCTCCTGGTTAACAGGTGAAGTTCCCTTTTTATCATGGCTGCCCCAGAGGCACCAGCACTAAGCATATGGACTGGGTCCAGGAGAAGGAAGACAAGAGTTCAAGGGAAAGAGACCCAACAGTGACCCACAGTTATCGCCTGTGTCTCCGTCACCACTGACACTGTGGCTGCCCTATAGTCTAGAGAAGGCCTGGAGGCTTGCCTCAGCTCTCTGTTGGCCTCTCTGGCTCTCTGTTCTGTTGCATCTCTGAGGTGTCAGGAGTCCAGCAAGGCTTTCCCAGGGGACAGACAGTGGGAGACCTGGGGTGACTCACCTTCTGCCACAGGTTGGCCCCCGGGTCATACACATAGACCTTCTTAGTGTTGTCACCAATGAGATACAAGGCTCCATTGAGAGCAGCACAGCGTGGAGAGGACAGGTACTTGGGCAGGAAAGGCGAAGCGATGACACTCCATGAATCTGCAGAACACATGGATTGATAACTTCACCAGGAGAAGGGGGCTGTTCCCCACCAGGAAAAGTCATGAAGGGCTCTACCCTGAAGCCTCCAGAGACACAGCACACTCCACCAATGGAATGAGCCTGAGGCAGTGTACTTTAAGGCCTCTCTGACTTCTCTGCCTCTCACTGCTGTGTAGCAGGCAGGAGGGATGAGGCTTTGTCTGACCACTGTCCCACCTCATTCCCACAGGCTGCTGGGAACCCTGAGCCTCTGCATCTGTCCAGCCTAGATTTCCACATGGTGGGCACATGGTTCTCTTCTGCCAGGTCCAGAAACCATAGCCCCCCACCCCCAACCGCTGGACCCTGCCATCTCAGGAATACAGGCCACCAGGGAGGCCTTCCTACCTGTCACAGGACTGTAGCACTGGAGAGCCAGCATGTTGTACTTGCAGGCACTGGAGCCCACCAGGTAGAGGCGACCCTGGCAGCTGGCAGCTGAGAAGTTGCTGACATATTTGGGGGCTGGACTGACAGAAGTCCAGCTGTCCGTATAGGGATCATAACGTTCTACTTCTACTGCATCCAGGGCGGTGCCTGTGGGAAGATGTTTTAACTGGTAGGAGCTGGGCACTGGGGTCTAGGAATAGGAGAGGGTCCTGAAAGCTTAGGGTCTGGATGTTCAAAGGCAGCAAGGATGGCTCTAGAACCCCAGGCAGTGGGGGTGGACGAAAGAGGCAGGATCTTTGGATTCTGTGACCTGAGTCCCATTCATAAGCAGCAGGACTTACCCAAGACCACATCAAGAGGTGGTGTGCAGGTGAGATGCTGGACACTGGTCCCTAGGGCCAGTTCTGGGAGAGCAGGTTATAAGGCGTAAGACTATGGTGATAGTCCCCCAGTGGGATGGGTACACCAATGGTGAAAACTTATTATGGGGTACATGTTTCCAGTCTAAGTCTCTGTGAGACCCTGGGGACCCCAAGGTGCCTGGGACTTGGAGAGTATGTAAGTTCTTTGCTCTCTGGACAGGAACACAGCAATTCTTTGAGAAGAGGGGACCCTCCCCAATTATCTGTTAGCTATTAGAAGTAGCTTCCAGGCTGCCTGTGAGTCTTATTTTGATAACTGGTACCGGGTTGTCTGGATGATGAAGAATAAGGCCGATAGCAACATGGAGGTCGCTGTGGCTCATTCACCTCTGAGGCTTGCAGTGACCCTGAACTGAGAGCTGAGTGTCTAGTTCCTGGGTGTGTGTGATCATTCCTGCTGGCCCTGAGGCTCTGAGCCCTCTAGGATAGGCAAACAGGAGCTGGCTAGTTCCTTGCTACCCAGGATGCCCCAGCCAGGGGTTCTGAGGACCATCTACATGAGGCTCACTGATCCCCAAAGGCAGAGAGCTCTCCCTGGTAGCATCCAGTGATGACATGGGCTGGGGACCTGTGGCTCCAGGAACAAGGGGGATGGTGACGGGGAGGGAGGCCTCACCACCGATGGCATAAACCTCTCCATTCAATGCTGTACTGGCATGGTTCGTGCGGGCCTTCAGCATGGGTGCCACGGGCTTCCAGACAGCTTCCTTCAGCGGGAAGCACCAGGCTTGGGTGGTCGACCAGGTATCTGTTTTGGTACCCCGTGAGCCACCTGTCAGAAAGAAGTTCAGTATACACAGTGGCGGCTCCTAGCACCTGTCAGTGGACTCTGTTTTGTTTTGTTTTGTTTTTAACTTATTTGTTTTAAAATTATTTCAGCTTTTGCTTGTTTTTGAGTCAGGCTGGCCTCGAACTTGCTCTATAGCCAAGGATGACCTTGAGTTTCTGATCCTACCATCTCGACCTCTGGAGAGTCCTCATTTTCAGATGTGTAGAAAGGTCTGGAAGGTCTTAGGAGACCTCCCAGGATCCTATTGGGTAGGAGAGTTGATTTGAGGGCCTGGTGTTCTATGAAGTTGATCAGGGTATCCCCAGGAGCTCTGGGCCACCCACCTGTGACATAGACATCACTGTTGAGTGCTGCCAGGGAGAAGCCCCACTTGTGGTAATCGGGGAAGTCCGGGAGTGCCATCCACTGCCCTGGTGAGGAGAGAGAGGCAGAGGGTCAGAGTGGTTGTGCTCCTGCAGGCCCCCTGCTCCCTCTACTTCCCAGGGGTCTTTTTCAGGAACGTCCCCCTCACTAGTGGTGACAAAAATGATGGGTAGATACAGCCTAGGGTGTCCCAGTTCACCGTACTCCCCACAAGACCAGCCGGAAGCCCAGACTAGACAAGTATGGCCCAAGGATATAAAATATAGCCCAGGATATGCAGGTTCTTGTCACTCTGACTTAAAGCTCACCTCACTGACCCTAAGTGAACGTAGCCCACCTCAGTCACCGGAGGTGGTGGCTGCGTGTGGGCATTAGTAGTAGGTAGTAACACACTCGTTCACGCCTCCATTTATCCATCCATTCCAAGCCTCTCTTCATTTCCAAGGTAGCCAAGAGGTACAGAGAACGAGATACCAGCCTTGCAGCAGTAGTGTGAAGTCCAAATCCTGCCTTTCGTGTGCCAGTTGTGTGAGTTTAGACAAGGCCCAGCCCCGGTTTCCCCATCTATAGAATGGGTATGAACTGGGCCAGAGAGATGGCTCAGCCAGCGATGGCACTTGCTATGGAGGTTGATGGTCTGAGTTCGATCCCTGGATGTCACGTGATAGAAGGAGATGTCCCTCCACCCAATATAAATAAATAAGTGTAAAACAAATTTAAAAAGGCCTGAGACGTGTGGTGCATGGAACACGGCCACCAGCAGTGGCTGTTAAGCCGTTCTCACTGTTGTCACCATTGTGAGGGACAGAGTGATGGGGAATGTTTGGAAAGAAACAACCATGAGACCATAGGCATGGGAAACTCGAATCCTGTGAATGGACTCCTTGCAAGTGTTTGTGGGAGACCAGGCCCTGGGGAAGTCCCCTGGACTGTTGACTGTTTATGACACTTTGGGAGCATGTAGAATTCTAGGGCTCATAATGAACCTGGCACCGTGGGCAGGAACGGAGTGTCCCCTGATTCATGTCTGTGTCACCCCAGGATGAGGATGACCCAGCAATCGGCAGGCCATTGTTGCCAGCCAGCTGCTCTCCCCTGACGTCAACTCCAAATCCCCACTATAAGCCTCTGACCTGGACTGCCGGCCTTGGACTTCCTCCAGCCCGCCAGAGCTGATGCGGTGGTGCTGGCGACCTGCCTCAGCCCCGGAGCCAACCAGCCCTCTTCAGTATTTTCCCAAGACCTCTCCTGGTGAGATGGCCTATGGGGTGCCCAATTACCTCTTTCTCAGGCCCCCTAACAACCATGGAAGGGAGGCATGGGGAACCCATTTCACAGGTGAGAAAAGTCAAGACATCCAGGGAGGTTAAATGACTTGCTCTGGGGCCAAACTGGATCCAAGTTTGAGCTGACCCAGAACCCAAACTCTTACTCCTGGGCTGTTTGCACCCTCTTATTTTCCCCTAGAGCCTTGTTTCCCACACTGGATGCACAGGGCAGGAGACCCAGGGCAATTGATGGGCTAGGGAGATGTCCACCTTTAATATCACTGTCTGGGCTAGGCCCTTTTGTTCCAGGCCCCAGGGCCTAATAAAAACCAGAGGTGGTGCTCCTAAGAGGGACGTGAACTGACAGTATTCCCAGTCCTCCTCCCCACCCTCCTCCCCATGGCTACCAGACTCCTCTGCAACCCTGGTAAGGTCCAAAACTCAACCTTCTGGAGTCAGGGCCCCCCTTCACTGGACACCTCACTGGCCTTACCCTAAGGTGGCGCATGGCTTAACAAGCATGTCAGGTACTTACTGGCCTTAGTGTTGTAGAAAGCAAAGTTCCCAGGGTGGGGGTTGGGCTCCTCACCCTCCTCCTCTTCCTCCTCCAGCGCCCGTCCTCCTACGACCACCAGCACCTCCTGCATCTTCTGTGGGAGGCCAGGAATCTCCTGTGGACAGGCGCCAGGTCAGCGTGGCTAGCCGTTGTCTGTCCAGTCCAAGGATCATATGTAGTTCTCTCAGTGCCTGTGCTTGAGGCTAGGTGGGCTTTGGTATGTGTGCACACATGCATGTCTGCATACATCTGTGAGTGTCTGTGCATGCATGTCTGCATGGGCTGGACATAGTGGTGTACACACCCCCACCCTGTGAATAACCATACCCCATTCGCACCCCCACCCCATACACACCCCCACCCATCCATATCCCCACCCCATCAAGAGCTATGCCTCTCAGTAGTCACAAAGGGCTTTCTCAAGTGCTCTGGAGCACCCTTGGGGTGACCAGGCCTGTCACTCTCTTAGGACCTGCCTGCTGCCAGCTCACTACCAGCATGAGCAGGCATGGAATTCCATACGGATTCAGTCAGAACTGCTCAGGAACACTTGGTGACAGCTTCCCAAGTCCTACCTACAGTGTCCCACCTCTATACAGCTGTCCATCGTCCTGGATGGTTTTTCCTTCATCTTCCTCCTCTCAGCTCCTATGTCACCTCCAAGGCCCAACTCCAATGTGAACTCCTCCAGGGAGTCCTCCCTGACTGCCAGCCTGTACCCAGTGCCCTTAGCATCCTCTCAGTGCTGGCCTTTCCACCGTGCACTAGGTTACTAGGTTTGGTTTGGTTTGTTTATTTTGTTTTGGTTTGGGTTTTTTGTATTTTTTGGGGGGGAGTTGTTTGTTTGTTTTTGTTTTTGGAAACAAAACAAAAACTCTGTATAGCCCTGGCCACATGAAACTCACTCTGAAAACCAGGCTAGCCTCAAACTCAGAGATTCATTTGCCTCTCCCTCCCAAGTGCTGGGATTAAAGGCATGCGCCACCACAGCCAAGCAGTGATGGGCTTCAAAGATAGAGACGCTTCTAGGCTCCTCCCCCTGGTCCTCAGAGCATGGCACCCTTGAGAGATGGACAACAATGCTCTGTCAAGGGACTAGCTTCAGGAGGGAGCCATGCAAGATGGGGCACGTTGACTTTCTTTTCTCTCCATTCAGGTGGGGGCTCAGAGGCTTCTCTGCTTCTTAGGTAGAAGTCCTCGGCCTCTCACTCACCGCACTGTGGCCCTGGGACAGGGCCTCCTGACACGCCTCTGACTCCTGGATCAGTGGCTCTGTGGCCAGCAACTGTTGCACACAGGGCCTAGGCACAGCATCCAGGTGCACCAGGCTGAGGAGCTCAGGCAGGTGGGCAGCCCGGTCCTGAGGGTCATGGCGCACCCAGCGCAACAGGGCCTCGAGCCGGCTCTGCTCCGGTTGTACCTGCAGCAGGTCGCTGGCCAGACAGGTGGCCAGACGGTCTCTTGGCAGCTGCAAGAATTCATCCTCTTGGGCTACTGCCTCAAAGTTCTCCCGCAGGAAGGCCCAGGCTTTGGCAGCCACACCCAACAGTCCTTGCTGTTCCCCAAACTCGCAGATGCCCAGGCAGTTGGTGGCATCTAACTGCTGCTGAAGGTATCGGCCGCAGACCTTCTGTACAGTGGGGAAGTGCAGACGTGAGGCGGAGCGGGTCAGTGCCTCCACGTTAGTCTGAGTGATGGTCAGCTGGCCTGTGTACACGAAGTCCACCAGCTGCCCCACCACAGCCGGCTCTACGTCTCGCAGCTCCACACGTGCCGAAAAGCTCTCAGCAAAGTCTCCGGCAAACATGGCGTGGAAGTAGGGGCTATTCAGTGCCAGAAGGCTGCGATGACAGGGCAGCTCCTGGTCACCAACCAGCAGCGTGACATCGGCCAGCTTGGGCAGGGAGCGCAGACGCTGCAGGCCTTCCAGCATGTCTTGGGCGTGTGAAGGCAGGTGGAAATCCAGGTCGTCAACATTCCTCACCATGATGCAGTGCGCACAGAGACCCCTGTAGCCCACCCTCTTTCCTGGAAGTAGTTCCTGGGGCTCCCCTGAAGACCTAAGTAGAAAAGCATGGTCAGCCATGAGAGCTACAGTCTTATCCACCTGTGATTCATTGTGTGACCGTCTGGACGTCAGCTGTCCTCACCCCTCACAAATGCCCACCAATTGAGTGTTGCCAGTGTGAGGGCCACTTCAGACATCCTACATTCCACTCTATCCCAGGTCCTCAGCCCTATGGGTAAGCCAAGTGTTGCTTACACTTTATAAGGAGGAAGCTGAGGGCTGGACTACTCATGGCCAGGTAATTAAGGTAATACAGGGCCATGTAGAGAACACAAACCCTGGGCTTCCTATCTTCCACAGTGTAGACCTCCAAGGTTGGGGAACCTCCCTTCTCCAAGAGCCCAAGAGACTTCTTTTCTCTCAGGCTCCATGTTGCTGGGCAGGCCACGGGAAGTATTTTTAGGTTTTGCCCTGTTGGTTTACTGCCTGTCTACAGGAGCTTGCTGCATGATTTGGTTGAGTCAAATCTGGTCCTGTTTCCTAACCTTCTGATGGAGAAGCTAAGGGCGAAGGGGACTTGAGTCACCCTTGGGGCAGCTCCTATGCACAGCTTCCCAGGCCTCTTCCTGTGTTCACACTCAGCCTTGCAACCACTCTGCCAACTGAGCGCTGGTATGTTACAGAGAAACTGATCCAGAGAGTTTGAGTCATCAGCCCAAGACCCCAGAGCTAGGAAGCAGATGTTGCAGGGTAGGGAGGGGTGGGGTGGGGCAGGGGATAGCAACTGAATTCAGAGCCTGGCTTGCAACCATAGAACTCAAAATACAACCACAGCAGCTTCCCGCCGTGTTAAGTGCATGACCTGTCAGAGGATTCCACTTCTAGATCTAAGGGTAATCGGCCTGGTTATTTTGCCCTAAGCAAACCACCAAAGATAACAGTCACTGGTCACAGTGGGGCACACCTACAATCCCAAAGCTGAGGCAGGAGGGTTACCAGCAAGTTCAAGGTCTGCTTGGGTTACATAGTGACACCTTACAAAAGAAAAGAAAAATTTTTTTCTTTTCTTAGAAAGAAGGGAACTGAGGGAAGAAAAAGCATGAAGGGGGAAGAGGAGGGGAGGGACAAAGGAGAGGAGGGATGAGAGGGTATACACGGATGCCCCCATCCTGAGGAGTACCTCACAGCTGAAAGTGTGTAGTGTATTGTCCTCTGGGGGTACCTCACACAGCCACCACAGTGACAGAGGATTAGCAAGCCTGAAAAACAGGAGCATCACTATCCAGTGAACTGGCAAACCACAGGGCCTGAGGCATGGGGCTGGCCGGGAGCTTGAAGGCCATGTCCCCATCCCTGATACCCTCTCCTTCCTACAGCACAGGAACCTATCAAAGGACCTACTTAGGAGAATTTTTCAAGGAGCAGCCTTGGCTTAGGCCTATAAAGGAGACCAGTGACTTCAAGACCCTCATACCCACCAGGAATCCATCCTGTCTAACATCTTAGGGAGGCCTCTGGTTGGGGTTGTGGTATTTTAGCCGAGACACATGCAGGGAGGGCTGTGCCAAAGGTAGCACCCACAGGCCTCACATTCCTGTCACTGCTGGACTCTTTGGCTATCCACTGTCTCTACAATGGTGTGGCCAGGCCTGTGTGCACTGTCCCTCTCCGAGGGACCTCAGAGATACCTGCGGACACCCACTGCCCCACTTCCACAGAGGCTGGAGGATAAAGGGAGAGTTTAGAGTCTTACCAGGATACGCTCATGCCAATGACTTTAACGCAGCCCTGCTAATGTGACTCTGGCTGCGTTCCTAGAGTCTGCCTCTCTCTCTGAGCCCATCCAGCTCCCAGGAGCCCCTCGCCTGCAGAGGACTCTACTAAGCCTAACCGGAATTCACCTTCTTGTAGAACCCCTGGTCTTACCTGTTAGTAGGCTCCCTTAGGGCTCCTTGCTGAGACCATAGACCAAAAGATAGGACTTAGGCTGAAGTGTGGGCCACAAAGGAGGCCTGCTGGGCTGGGCTGGGCTGGGCTGGGCAGGCCACGTGGGGACTTAGGGGTATTTTTAGCCTCTGTATGGGAGGAAGGGGGGATGGTGGGGGAAGGAGTGAGGTCACAGCTCTTCGAAGACTGTCTCCTCTGAAAGTCCACCCTGTCTATATCAAAAGGGAGGCCTCTGGGTTACCTGAGGGCTAGATTGGACAGTAGGAAACTTGGACAAGTTGGTGCTTTGACTCATCCCAGGCTGAGGTGGGGGGAGCTGAGACAGACATATGCCGAGTGGAGACAGCAAGAGCCTGTGCTGGGCCTGAGCAGAAGACTGCTCAGGGCGACACTAAAGACCTTCTTGTACTGCTTTATCCTGTACTGATGGGGACCCAGATAGCTGCAGTCCCTCTGTGGAGTAGGATGGTCACATCCTGAGTAAGCACAGGTTGGTCAGCCTAGTCTCTAAGCTACAGTGGTGGTGGGTGAAACTTCAGGGGTAAAGGTTGTGCTCAGGGTACTGACAGGCTCCCTGAGACCTGGGTATGCAGGTAAGAAAGACTAGGATTCTCCCCATTTCATAAACAAAGCCTTGGCCTTGGGTTGCCCTGGTGTTTCCCTCCATCCTGAGTGCTCCTGGCAGCTAACAAATAGGGTCATCTAAAAATAAAGCAGCTGAAGTTTGTAATCTTCCATGTAGTGTTTGGTTCATGGGGACATACTTCACAGACAGAGTTTAGGTTACTGATGTCACCCAAGGTCAGGTTGGGTCAGGGAACTGAGGGAGGGGGAGAGCCAAGCTTCCCAGGTAAGGGAGTGTCTTAGTGAGGTTTTCTATTCCTGCACAAACATCAGGACCAAGAAGCAAGTTGAGGAGGAAAGGGTTTATTCAGCTTACACTTTCACATTGCTGTTCATCACCAAAGAAAGCCAGAACTGGAACACAAGCAGGGCAGGAATCAGGAGCTGATGTAGAGGCCATGGAGGGGTGTTACTTACTGGCTTGCTTCTCCTGGTTTGCTCATCTTGCTTTCTTATAGAATCCAGGACTACCAGCCCAGGGATGGCACCACCCACAATGGACCCCTCACCCTTGATCACTAATTGAGAAAATGCCTTACAGCTGGATCTCATGGAGGCATTTCCTCAAGGGAGGCTCCTTTCTCTGTGATAACTCCAGCTTGTGTCAAGTTGACACACAAAACCAGCCAGTACAGGGAGGGGGCTTTAATGTGCAGGTAGGACACCTCAGTGCACAGGTGGACACCTCAGTGCATAAGTGGGATACCTCAGTGCACAGATGGGATATCTCAGTGCACAGGTAGGACACCTCAGCCTGAGTGACCAGGCTGAACTTCACCATCAGCATCTCCTTCCTTCTCACCTGTAGGCCTTAGTAAAAGAATCATCAGGATGCTGTTTTGGGAGGTCACTAGGGATGGAAGTGATGTTCTCACAGACAGGTCCCAGGTAGCCCTGAGTGACAGCCCTCCTGGCAGAGTCGAATAATTTCTTAAGGTGCTGGATGCATGACACCTGTCCTGGCAGGTACAGCATTTGGGAAGTTCATGTAGCAGACATTACAGCCTTGCTCCCAGGAAGAATTTGATCATCACCAGGAGAGCCCTGCAGGGCCTGCCAGGCTCCTCACATTGGCAGCCTCCATGTACCAGGGCTCTGTGCTTCCCTCCTTTACTCATCCCCAGGTGCTGTTTCTGGGCCACAGTGAGACACTCCCTCTGGTTTTGATATTTAACTTCATGTGGTATAGGGGACTTTCATGGGTGTCCTTATCTGCAAGACATTTAAAGCCACTAGGGGAAAGGTACTGAAGCAAGGTGAAGGCTTTGTTTAACACCCCATTTGCAGGGTCAGTACCTCCCTGCTCTGTCTAGAGGGAGTGAAGGACAGGAACAGTAACACAGGCTCTGTCACAGGGAGTGCTAGCTGCACCAAGTGAGCAGGTCCCTAGCAGACCATGTGGGCATTAGAGGCCAGTGCATCACTGGATGACAGAGCAGGCATGAGACACAACACTAGTGTAAGGATCTGAAAATTGCTGAAGGAAGACCCCAGAGTCAGAGAGTGTGCAAGAACAAAGAACATTTATTCTACAGAAACAACCAGCATGCGCGGCTCAACCATTTTTTTGAAATGGCGACCCTAGACAAAGGCACGCAGGCCTTCTTATAGGGTACTGGGGAAAACTCTCTAGAAGGATTAGGTAATCTAACATTTCATTGGTGACTAGGGGGTTACAGGTGGCCAGCAATCTGCATTCCTATATAATGAATGTTTAACCATAGGATAAAATAGGACTGCCCAGCACAGATGTCCCATTCCGAGATATTTCCTCATTTTTGTGGTTATCCCTAGGCTGTTCTTTGGGGGTCTATGACCTTCTGGATTTTATGGTCTGTTCCTGGAGCTGGTCTCCTTTTAGGAATCAGGCCTGGTCCTCAAATGGGGTTTATGTTGCCCTTTCAACTAGGGGCTCAAAATGGCATGCTTCTTCTAAGAGCTGCGCCTTTAAAGTAGGCCTAGGATGATAAAAAAAAAATTACACACGGTTTTGAAAAGCATAAAAGTGTAAAACAGAACTCTCCAACAGCAAATGACAATGTCCCTCACAGACCATCGTCCATGAGTCCGGACGTGACCTGTGCGCATGGCTGAACAAGCACAAGTCACTGTTTTGATCACTTGATGCTGAGTCAAGCTTTGAGGAAATTATTGGTTTGAGAACACGGGTTTAAATTTCACCTTGACATGGAGATACCTTCCTTCCCAAGGCTGGAGGTGGCACCAGGCACAGCTCCTATTCATGGGCTTTCGGGTCATTTTCCATTTTGGATACTGTGATGAAGACCAGCTATGCAGTTATTCCCCCAGAATAGACTCTGCGTGTGAATTCACCAAACTAAAATGGGCCACCATCTTTAAAGGTGCAGCTTACACCAGAGGGACCGGGCTTAGAAGAGGCACACCTGCTTTTTCTGGTGTGTGTGGATGTTGCAGTGGCTGTGGAGCCAGCCCAGGATAGGGTCTCACAAGTTAGACTGTCTCCTACACTTCAGTATTTATGGTCTGGCTGATGCACTGTCTCTGGGTCCATGTGAGCTTGGTGTGTGTGTGTGTGTGTGTTGGTGTGTGTGCTGTAAGCACGTTCTCTTCTGTTTCAGCTGTTAGCAATAGTGCTCCACACTGTTACTGACCCTTCTTCAGACCCTGTGGATTAGCCGCAGCTCTTTTGTCTCAGGACATGCTTTCCAGGTGTGGATGGTCAGGCTCCCCTGACCCAGGTTCTTGTGACGGAACCACATTCCAACTGCAACACAGCATCCTTCTTTGTTACTCTCTAAAAAGATGGCTGTCACTACCCTGTAGGTGCCCTGCCTACTAGTGTCTACTTGTGGAAGTGCTACACACTAGTGAGCACCCGAGCCAACGGTGAGCCTCTGGGCAGAGCCCCTCACCTAACAGGACCTGGAATGGGCAAGCCAGCATCAGCACCACATCCCTGATCCCACGATGTAGGGAGGAATCTAGGGCCTTTAGGGGATTAATAACTTACTCTGATGCTACAGCTGCAGTGAGCCACTGGGTCTGAGTGTTCACTCAGAGGCCAGGCTCTGTAAACACAGGCAGCTTCCCCAGGGGAGAGTGATAAGGAAGTGCTCACCAGCCAAGAACAGCGATTTTATTTAGCAAACACACATCAGCAGCTTCAGCTTCTGATGAGACTCTAAAAGCAGAGGAAGCCAACGGCAGAGTAAGAGGATTCACCCCGTCACCTCAGAGCAGGTTCCAAGGTGGGCCAGGGCTGGAGGCAACTTGGAGGCAGGACCTTTACCACTGCCCTGTGTGGCTCTTCAGGCACCAAAACCCATGCCCCGCACCAGCTTTATCTCCCTGGAGGTCCCCATCCATGGGACCCCCTAGCTAGTCTTGAGTCTGTACAGGCTCTGCTCCAGCCAACAGCCTTTCTACTATTATCCCAGAGCCCAGGGTTAGGGCTCCCTGCTCCCCCTAGTGGTGATGGAGGGCCACAGTAGGAGACTCTTGGAGACGGCCTGTCCCTATTGTGCATGAATTTGCCCCAAGAGACTTGACTGCAGATCCCTGTCCTGTGCCAATTGTAGTCACCTCAAAAAGTCACTACCCCAAAGTCCTCCATGGGTTCCAGGCCAGTTCTCCTGGGCCCCATAAGGTGGGTGGTGGCTCATCCTTTTGCCTGTCACCAGAAGCTGGAATCAAGCAAGCCCTATCTTACAGTCAGCCATCTTTTTGGGGTGGGGGTTGAGGGGGGGGGGGAATCCCTCTCTAGCACTTGGCTTCTGTGGTTCTGTATGGTAACCGAAATCCCTAAGGTGTTTGACTCCTTTCTCTGTGCCTAAGTGGGAAGGTGACACCCAAATGTCAAGAACACCCCTGCTATGTTCTTCCCTTGCTGTAAGCTGTTCCCAGCTTCTGAAGGCCAGTTTCCTTCAGATGGTACCAACCTTTCTATTCGAAGGACTCCTTACCTCTTGGTGGATGGTTATTCTTGGTGTCCCTGCTCTTAGGGCCCCTCCATCTGAGGGTCTTGGAAGGGTTGGTCAGCTGGAAGACAAAGGCCTAACAGGGGCCAGGCAGTGCCAGAGGAGAGACGCTGCTAGCATGCATGCAATAGCATCTATGACTGACCGGCAGGAGAATCCAAGCAGGACCGATTCTCTGCCTTGGGACTTTGGGGTCTTCTCCATAGAAGTGCTTCTGTCAGGGAGATTGTTCATGCTAGACGCAGCTCCCTCTGGCTTTAGAGATAGGAAGTTGCCAGAAAACAAACAAACAAACAAACAAACAGCAGAGGCAGGCTGCGGGCTGAGGCCCAAAGGGAGGTGTAGAGAGGGTGGCGGTGTAGCTGAGACCACCTGAACCATTGAAACTGAAATTGAGACACCCACGTGACTGCTGGAAACAAGACTGGCAAGGGGACCCTGGTGCTAGGTCATCAGCTCCTTGGCTGCAGGACCCTCAGACCCATATGACCACTTGAGGGCCTGAGGACTGTGCTCACAAGTGAGAAGAATTTGACCCCAGTCACTGCTCAGAAGAGATGGACATTATGGCTTAAGAGACTTCCGATCTCCGCAAAGACAGCCATAACCGTGCCCACTTCACCTGACCCCCAAGGAGTGCAAAGAATAAACAAAGGAACCCCAAACCTCCCCCAGAGTCCTATCCCACCAGGTGAAGAGTCATTCTCCAAAGTTAAACATCTCAGCTTCTTTCTCCTTCCAGAAGGCGAAGCTGCGGTCAATGTATCCACAGATGTCCCCACTGTTGAAGCTGCCCCGTTGGGAGTCGGACCCCAGCTTCGGGGCCACAGGTTCTGGGCCACTGCCTTGGAGGGCAGCGTGGGGCAAGGACCCGAGTGGTGTCAGGCCCAGCTTGCGACCAGGCTCCACGTCCCAGGGGGGACCCTGGCTGGAGCCGAAGAAGCGGGCTTTGATGTCCTCGAAGCCATCGGTCCAGGCGCGGCGGCCCGCGGCCACCTCGTCGGTCACTGCCTTATGGAAGGCTCGCACGGCCTCCCAGCCGTGCGCGCCCAGATGCTCGAAAACCTCGAAGCACAGCAGGTGTCGCATCTTGCGCTCCTCGGCAGGCAGGTCGCACTCCAGGAGCTGGAAGTAGCCAAGCATGAAGAGGTCCAGCGAGAGGCTGTTGTAGGGCACGGGTGCCCCGTCCACGTGCGGCAAGAACTGCTCGGGGGACAGGGGCCCGCGCGCCCTGCGGCTCAGCCTCCGCAGCTGCCGGGCCGGCACGTGCGCCATGATGGCTTTCCAAGTGCCCAGCAGGTGGGTGATGATGCCACGCTGCTGCCACAGGTGGCTGAGCCGGGGACCGTCGCTGGGCTGCGGGGAGGGCGGCTGGGGGCTACCTGCGGCCTCGGGGCCCCTGGATCGTGCACGCTGAGCCTCTAGAGTCCTGCAGGCGGCTGTCCTGAGCGCGGGTGTATAGGCGGACTTCTTCCAATGACCGAGGAAAAGCATGACAATGCGCTCCTTGCGCAGGCTGGCCAGGTCCAGCCCCAGACCCGCACCACCCTCTGACGGGGCCTCCTCGCAGCTGATGCCCGAGTCACTGGCCTCCTCCGTGTCGCCTGGCCGGGACTCCCCACCCATCGGGTCGCCTCGGGGCTGTGGCGGTGCGGACCAGCAGCCTCTCAGACACTGGCCGGGCCGCGCCCCCAGCTCACAGGGACCCGAGTTCGAGGCGCAGGGCAGATCCGGGGCGAACTCGAAGTTTCCCCGCAACGTCCGAACTGACACTCCGCACTCCTGGATCTCCCGCTGGGCCTCACTTCGAGGGAGGGCGACAATGGCCTCCTTGCCTGGGTCCTGCGGGGCCGGGGCGAGTGGCTTCTCCTCGCCCTGTGCCAGCCCGTTCATGCCCTTCAGCAGCAGGGACATGCTGCGCACCAGACGACCAATGTGGCTGCACCAGAAGGGCAGTGGCTGCCCTCTGGGCTCCCCCTTCCCGGTTTCCTCGGAGGCTTCAAGTTCAGGCGCCAGAACTGGAGCTTCCTCGACTTCCAGGCAGGGAGCCCGGGGCAGAAAGTGGCTGTTGACGGTGATGCTGACCAGGGGCTCGGGCAGGAGGGCCTGCAGCTGGGCTGCCAGTCGGCCCAGCTCGCTCTCATACTCCTGGCATCGGCGCCGGAGCTGCAGGTCGTTGATCTGCTTCTCCAGGTAGACAAGGTCATCCTCGGTCAGTAGCTCTCCGAAGGGGCCCAGGATGGCCTGGTGCGTCTGCGAATACCTCCAAGTTGCCTGTTCTGCAGGGGTGGGGCCTGAGTCCTGCCTTTGACTCTGGTCCTGGGCACAGGAAGGCTGGGTCAGCAGCCACTACAGATCATAGTCACTAGTACTCTGCCTGGTTCCCTAAAGCCTAGACCTTGGACACCAGCTGGCCCACCCCTGGCTTTACAACGTGAAGCTGGCGGCAGGCCACTCCAGTCCAGAGTGGGAGCCTGGGAAAGATGGGGACTGCTTGCTTCCCATGGTCTTCTAAGACTCGTTGGTGCTAGCTGCCAAGATACCCAGGCCCTCCACTTAACCCTGAGCAGCCCTGTGTGCCTTCTCACCAGCCTGGGGATGGACACTACTGTTCTAGACAGTGTCCTGTCTTCAAGGGGCCAGCACAGAGGCCTCTGTTCTGCTCAAACTGTCACTCCAAAGCCCTTGGAAACCCTCCTCCATATCCTTCTTGTTTCTGCGGAACCTTGAACCCATCTTTAGACGCCTAGGGACTTCCTGGAATACAACCCCTCCCACCACTCCCCCAGCCCCTCCCCCATGCTGTGCTGTGCACTGTAGACACATTTGTTGGAGGACAGGCTGCAGCAGGCAGGAGCCCATAGCATCTGGGAAAAATGTGACTGGTATAATGGAATGATCCTACTTTGGCTTTAAAACCTTAGCCCAGTAGCTTACAGTGCCGAATGGACAGTTCGGCTTTAAACCTGGCCACAGTACAATCCACACGCTTTCAGGGTAAGATTCTAGTTCCACTTGCCCAGACAGCATCCAGAAGCCCTGTGAATGACCCCGGCACTCACAGACTCTTCTCTGTTCAGTCACAGATGCTTTCTAGACACCTGTTATCCCCTCAAGCATGCCCTTCCCCCACTCACTCCAGCACTACGGTCTCTGTTGATCAGCCCTGGTGTGTCCTCACCATACCTCAGGACCTTTACACTTGCTTTTTCTTCTACCTAGAGTGGAAAATACCCTAGACCCAAACAAACTCCCATGGGTCCTCCTCATGCCCTTCTAGCTCCAGCTCACCTGCCCTGCTCTCTTGAGCAATCCCCTTAGAGCCCCCACTTCATACTGCTTTGCCTTCGCCACGGGTTCACTCCCGCCCTGCCCTCACTGGGCTGTGCTTCCCCATTGGCATCTCCGCAACAGTCTAAGCACCAGAACAGTAGGGCTGGCCCCAATCTAGTAGATGACAGAAATCATGGGGCCTACCCCCTCTGAAGCCATAAATGGCTTGCTTGGAGCCCTGCCATCTAGTTTTGAACCATGAATGGCAGGAGAGGAAGCTGGCACCACACAGTAACAGAGTGGAGGACATGTGGTTTGGGCTCCAGGTCTGGGTTGGAGCATCCCACTGGCACCTCCCACTCCTGTGTGGCACTTACTCGGTGGCCATGTTCCCTTCTCCTCACCCCACTCCTCACCTCCATCTCTCCCATCCTCCACCTGCCTATCCCACACCCCATTACTCTATCCCCACCCTACCCCCAATCCCCAACCCGACTCCCCATCTCCCTCTGGTGAGTCCCCACCCTCTTTCTGGAGCCTTGCCCTCCTCCTTAACTCTCTGCCCCTCCCTGTGGTCTCCCAATCCTCCTCTGTCTCCTCCCCTTTGACACCTGATCTTCTGGAGGATGGTCTGCACCCAGGCGAGCCTGCAGCTTCCGCACCATCACCTGCCGCTTCCATTCAGGAATGGGCCGGCCACGCTCATCCTGGGTGGGCACCAGCATGTCAAGGTCTCCTGAAGGCAACCCATCCAGCTGCAGAGTGGCCAGGCCATCAAGGGAGTCCCGGGGTTCCACCTCAGGGCCCTGTAGAGACAGGCAGGTGACACGCCCTGAGGGGACCTAAGATTGAGCAAGGTGAAATTCCCAACCCCTCCAGTCCCTCACCTAATAAAGGTGAGGCCCTGAGTAGAAGGATGTGCTTATGCCCCGCCCCCTATCTAGGGGGTGTGGTCTTACGTGGCCTGGATGAGATTGCCTAGGGCATGTCATATAGAAACAGCTAAACAGGGTAAAAACAGCAGTGCACATAAAGCCTGCCCACCAGTTCTCCAGTGCAAGACTTATCTGAGCCTTTGTTGAACTGTGTGCTGAGAGGACCAGCATCACTTGGTGGTTATCAGAGTCCTCTGGAACTCAGGGAAAGGTGGGGCTGGAAAAGTGGGGGTAGGTGGACACCACTTTCTCCAGAGGAGCAGACTCCAGAGCCTTCCTGCAGCTGTCTGGTTGCCTCTTGCGACAGCAGCTTTCAACCCTGAGCCCAGAGGTCAGGACTGAGATGACAGAGAAAGGCTCTGTGTTTCCTGTGATGGGGCCTGGTTGCTGCCGCCCTGAGATTGTCTTTTGAAAACTTGGGGGTGGTCAGAGCTGTCCAGGCTGAGAGAACATGGGGTGTACTAGTCTTCAAGTGGAGTGACAGGGAGTGAGTGGAAGATACTCACCTGAAGGGCATCTGAGGTGGTGACCCTTAGAGGGGCTGTGCAGGCCATTGGTTCCCTTCGGACAGGCTGAGCAGGCCAGACTGGGCTGAGAGTTACAGCTGCAGAAGACAGCTGGAGTCAGAGGGGTGTCAGAGGGCAGGCAGGGGTACAGGAGAGCAGAGATGCCAGCCTGGAGCTCCTGGACCCACGCCAGCCCTAACCTTCCAGGAACACTAGGCTTAGAGCCCAAGACCCTTCAGCTCTGCCCTCTGTGGTCAGAGCGAAGTGGTACAACTAGGATCCTCATAGAGGCCTCAAGAGGACCTGCCCCATCTTGGCCACCAGGAAAGCTTGTGTGTTATTTGGTTCTGCCTACTGTAGCACCTCCCAACTTCTCTGCAGCCTGGGCAGAGCCAGGAGCCCATAAGACCTGAAGGTTACGGGACCTAGCCCAGCTGCATCAAGCCCAAATCCTGTCCTCTTACTAATCCATCCCTTATGCCCTATAAACACACATTAGTGCCATGGCCCTGAGCTGTATCACACCCTAGGCAAGCACACAGACCCATTCACAGACATACTCACAGCTAGACACACACACACACACACAGAGGTAGATTCACACAGACAAATGCATGCTCACATACAGAAACACACACACAGGTAGACTCAGACTATTAGGGTCACACACACAGTAAAACACAGGTAGACAAAGACACATGCATGCTCGCTCACACACACAGAAACACAAACAGGTTGGCACATACATGCTCACACAGACATGCTAGACACTCATGTGCAGACATATAAGTATATCCGCAGACATACATGCACACTCATATAAAGACAGACATTCTGATACAGACACACTAGACAGTCATGTGCAGACACACAAGTACATATATAGACACACATAGAGCCATACATGCACACTCACAGAAGACATACACTCAGACACAGACACACACACAGAGACATAAAGGTAACATACACACTTGCCCACACAGGCAGACACAAACATGTGAGCATGTTGCTGTAACTTGTTCACTGGTCAAGATGTGGTGCCTGCCCTCTAATGGCGTTTTGTAAGGGTTAGTCACAATCCTCTAAAGGCGGTGGTCCTCAGTTGGCAGGCCCTCTCGATCTCCTGATGCTCACTGGCCTGCTGAGCTCTCTGGCCTGGGTCTCACTGAGATCACTTCCTTTTATTTCAGGTTACTGTCATTATGGCATCCAAGATTGAAAATGTCAACCTTGGAGACTGCAGAAGCAGCCTGGGAGGAGTTCTGAGAAAGGGAAGCTCTAACTGCTCAGTTGCCTGAGCCTAGCTCCTCTGAGAAGATCCTCCCAGTTGGATCTGCCACCCTCTACACCTCGCCCAGACCGGTTCTTCTGTGGCCAAGCACTCACATGAGGGGCTCCTGGGTCCTGAGTCCCCTCTTCTTTCGTCTTCCAGGGAGAGTTTTGCAGCCAGCAGTGGAGGAGGAGGAAATGGCGGGGGTGGGGGTGTCATCAGGACTGGCACCTGGGGAGGGACAAATCTGGTTGGTGGAGACGCAGGTGAGTCTGGACTTGGGTGGGTCTGTCCCAGCTCTGCCAGACAAGCATGGAGGGCCTCCTGGAGCATGTGCGGTTCAGAGGGCCTGGAGAGAAGTGCCCAACAGGGAGCTCCAGGACCCTGTCCCTCTTGTTTCTTCCTGCCCACCCACGCTGGGTGGCTGGGTTTCCTATCAGTCTGTACCCCCCACCCATTTCAGAGCCCAGTTCAGTGTCCCCTAGAACAGCCTTACTCCAGGACTAGATGCTGGGTTAGCTGTGCTCTCCTCTCTCAGCCCACACAGATTGGACCATGTACACACGCAGGCTCACATGTCCCCTGTGACTAAGCTTCCCTCCCGAGACTCTCCTGCCCCTCTACTTGACATGGGCCTGAGGGCGACTTGGAGTAGTGAATTCAGTGTGATCCAGTAAGGAGGGGGTGGGGGTGGCAGGTCCCTGTAAGGATGTCATCAACTGAAGATGTCAGGACCCAGGGAGCCTGAGCACAACCCCTAAGTTGTGCCCAAGGCTGAGCAGCTGTCTCGGGGAGCCTGGCCTTGGAGAGTCCTGCTGCCCAGTCTTCCCCAAACTACTGCATCATTAGTTGGCTTGCCCAACCACTAAGAGGACAGATATGCTGGTTGGGCAGAGAAGCGAGATGGGATACTTGGAATTCTTCTAAGCCCCTAATGCTGAGGTTCTGGGACCGTATACCTCAGGCAGAGGTGCAAGTCATGACCTATATTCAGTGTCCAAGCCCCACCAAAACAGGACCATAAAAGATGGGAGAGGCAGCCCCTCCATGTTTAGGCTGGGTAGCCATCCGTTCTTGGCTACCTCTATGAGACCACTGGATGGATGAGTCATGCTGCCCAGAGTAGCTCTAGTCAGTTTCAGCTGTGAGACCTGACCAGGGAAGCTGAAGATCCTTGTTCCTACTAGTTCTGGCTAGGAAGATGAGATGTGAGGCCATTGGCTCATCTCATATCCCCCCAAGTCTTCTAAGCTGCGCTTGGCACCTTTTGGCTGAGAGCTGATGTAGAAGGCTTCTTGACTCCGTCTAGGATGGAGGCACCCAAGTTTGGGGGAAATGCATTACATCGATGCCCTCTGGCATGCAGATGCCCAGATTCTGGCTGCAGCTAACAGGGCACACATAGCATCCCTCTGAGTATCTACCCCACAGCCATGCCTAAGCCTTAACACCTCCCTTTGGGGGGCAGATGAAGCCAAAGTAACTGCCAGGCCCCTAAGGTGGTGCTAGTGAGACCCCCCCACCCCAAGCAGGGAAGGGGTTCTGGCTTGAACCCGCCCTAATTCAGAACATGAGATCCCACAGCCAGGATCTGTGTCAGGAACCTTCTGTGGCTTGGATTATTACTCTGTTGTACCTGCTTTCAAATTTTCCCTACATCAGCAGAGATGGCCTTCAGCCTGTACCTCACAGTCCAGGCCGGCACCGTCCAGGCCAATCCTTGGCTTCTTTGGGCCACTCCTCATTCATGGCTAGGGTAGCTGTGTCCTGTTCTTCAGTCCCATTCCACCCGACACCCTCAGCTTGCCAGGTCACAAGAAAAAGATAGCAGCACAGACCCCAAATGCCCACTTATGCACCTCACTTATCCTGGAAATCTGCAGAACCCAGGAAGCTACACGTGGGGCTGCAGGGCTGGAACATCTGCCTGCTTCAGCATGGAGGCTCTCAGAAGCAAATGCTGGCCATCGGAGCACAGGGAGCCGTGGGTGTCCCGGTCCCAGCTGTCAGGGGCTGTGGAAGCTGTGCCCCCGGAGTGGGAGGTATCACATTAATATTTGAAGGTACAGGTGTCAGGTGGCCATCAGGCTGGGGCCGGGCATGGGATCCCTTACCACGGAGCCTTAGGCTCCAGAGTAGAGGGCTAGGGGTGGACCTCTGGGAAGTGGAGAACCTAAGATCACCCAGAGGAGCCCAACTTGCAGTGCCTCTCTCAGCACACAGTGGGGGACCAGAGGCTGTCCAAGGGCTCACAGCTGCAACACATGGTTGGGGGAGGGGAAGCAGAAGCTCTAGGAGACAGTTCCTGGGCCTGACAATCTCTACAGATGCTGAATTTGACCCTTAAGGGCTGTCACAGGGGTGACCCCATAGGACAGGAACAATCTGAATGCTGTGAACACCTATGGGGAGCTGTCCCAGGTTCAGGGTTCTTTGGAGGAAACACACACCCACCAAGAACATGGCAGCCATCTGGACATCAGCATAGCAACTGGGGTGGGACCCTCACCTGGGAGCCTCAGCTCCCCTCCTGGCCATTTAATCTATTGACAATAGAATAGACAAGAAGTGCCCTTGCCCACCTCACCCAGGAAAGATCGAGGGGCTTAGGGGGTAATGGCAGGACAGAGATGTGGGATGTTGGCCTGGCCTGGGAGACCAGACTCCAGTCACAGAGTAGCCCCACAACTTGTGGACCTCAGGACCCGTGTTAATCGGGCCCTGAAACCCTCTTCACCACTAAACAAGAAAGGGAAGCAGTATAAACTCCATGTCCTGACAACATGTGGGTTGTTGAAAGTGATGCATTATGGGGGAATATCTGACTGTATCTATACAAGAAACCACTAGTGCTGACCTCTCTGACTGTGGGCAGGGAGAAACCTGACTGTGGCGGCCCCCAGGAAGTAGGAGCCCCCACACCCTTGCCTCTCAGTCTTAGCCATGGACCCTGAGGGAATCCTTAATATAGGAGGGGGGTAGGTGCCAGATTCCATCCTTTAGTCCTAATGGCTGAGCGTATCATGCCTGGGACAGCTGTTCTGAAGGTGGCCGTCCCTCAGGCTCCACTGCCCGCCATCTCTCTCCTTGTTTTTGGTGAGATTTGAGCATTGCTGAGCCCGCCATGCATTAATCATGGAGAGCAGCTGTGGCGAGCTGGGTTACAAGCCTGTAATGCCACCCGGGCTGAGAAAATCATGACCTCAGACGGAGCTGGACACCATTCACCACAGCTGAGATTCCATTACTGTGGGCAGTCACCTCCACTCTGCCCTGAGACAAGACTTCCATCCAAGGAAGTCCCCAGCCCTCGCTAGCTCCAGTTTCCCCACATCCATGAATGGGACTCTAGGTCCCTCTGCAGAGAGAAGAGGGGCACTAAGCTAAGGCCATCATGACAGAGCAGGAGAGGAACATTGCTTCTGCCCCCAGACGAGGTCTTCAGACCCGCTTTGAGGATGAGGAAGTCAAGGCCGGTGCTCTGTGCCCAAGAGGATCCAGCATCACCCTGGTGGTGGGAGTGAGCGCAAGGTAGGCAAGCAAGGTAACCCAGCAACCAGGGATGAGGGCTGCATTCCCTGGGTCTGGAGGCCTGCACAGATATCATCCAGCCCTGTAATGATTGGCTAGCATCTCTGCAATAGCCTTCAGATTCCGACTGACACCAGGGAGTCAGGCTATCAACTAACAGAGAGATGAACGGGCAGCAAGCTACTGTCTCAATAGCCTCTGGCTTCTGTCCCACCTAGAACAGGAGGCCCAACCTCTTACTGTGCAGAGGGACACTGAGGTCCAGGGAGAAGCATGGCCTGAATCCCCCCAGGGCTCCATGCAGGCCCCACACTCAGCAGAGGGTGCCCCAAGGTCCCACAGACCCTCGATGTGAAATTCTCACTGAAGGAGCATAGCTCTTGACACTGACATCTTAGCACTCAAGCTGCCTCTCCTGGGCCCACAAGTCCCCTGGGAGCAGCTCAGGACAGTGGTGTCCGGGGAATAATGGGTTTCACCATCTCCTCAGGCCCACAGGAGAGCGCAGGTGCAGACGACCTCTGCATATTGCATTTCCATCAATATTACATCAGGTGCGCTCCCCCTGCCGCCAGCCTACAGCTGACAGCCGGTCCTCCCTCATGAGGTAGGAGGCCCAGAGGACAACTCTAGCATGGTGGGGTCAGGCACCCCTAGCTTTCACCAGGCTCCATGAAGACGACACGATGGCCGCCAAGCTCCAGCCCTAAATGTGAAGTTCTGAATGATTTCAGGATATACACCACTGAGCCCACACAAGGCCCAGGGTCAGGCTTGCAGAGCCTGGGTGGGTGCCCATATATGAACAGGAAGGAAGATATTGGTGTACAGGAAGTGGATGGGCTGTGTTAGGCTATAGGGGAGTCATCCATGCAGACCTGGGAGTACCAGGTATTGCAGTTCCCAGGCATGATGGTGAGGTGCTGCCTTGGGTCCTATGTAACATCAAAGACACAGCTAGAGCCAGATCGACCCCAAGAAGGCAAGATGGACTGGCTGCCCTCAGCCTGGGGAAAGGGGAGCATGCAGAGACCCTCTCCCTGAGGTGGGGTAAGATCCAGGAGGGCCTGGCTGGCTGTACCAGGCTACGGAGATGGAAGGCCAAGAGCCTGCTTGCACAGAGAGCTCTGGCCTTGAAATTCATATCACGTCTGGGGTGGGGGCTTAGTCAGGGACTTTTGGAAGGTAGGTGGGACCTGGTATGAGGGAGTAGGTGTTCACTCAATGGGCACAGGAGAGCAGTCACCCTTCTACCTCCTGATCTCTGCAGCTACCCAGGACAGGGCAGATCTCAGTGAGGACAGGAGCCGGGCATTTTTCAGTGGGTGGGGTGTCCCTAGGCCCAGAATGTACAACCCTGAACACTTTCCAGAAATCACCCATGTCACCTTTTGCCCCAATCCCAGCCAGGGCAGGGACCAGGCATTGACAGCCAGTCTGATCCATTTCCGAAACACTTGAATCCTAGGTTCTGAGACTTCCACCCCAGGAGGAGCCCCACATGAGTCCTCGTGGCCCACATAAACTGCACTGCGCTGTGTCAGGCTTGCTACGTGCGGGTTTCAAGCAGTAAAATTTGGCTATGACTATGTGAGGTACCTAGCACCAGCCAAAGGGCCAGTGAGGGCTCTCCTTCCGTTGGTTCCTGAGATTCTGAGGGGACTTCCCCATGGGAAAAGAACCATGGAATGCTCCTAGTGAGCACTGGGGGCCCTTACCTCCTGGACCTCAGTGCTCTCACCTGAACATGGTGAGTCACCTTCCTGAAGGAGTTGTACCACTGATGAAATTCATCATGGTCTCTGCCTTGGGCTGGAAGGGGAGAGAGGGATTGGGTTGGGGGTACACTGGGAAGAGTTTGGTCCAAGTCCCTGAACTTCGTCCATGAGGAATACCTTCCAACCTGCCCCGCTCCCCTGTCTTCTTCCTCTGGCTGCCTGTCACACTAACCCAGTTCTCTGTGAATTCCCTTATCTGTTCAATCGGGCAAATTCCTGTTGGATTCTGTCCTGTGTTGGGCACAGAAGACCAGTTAGGATACTCGAGGATTCTGGCTCTGAGAGTCACAGGGTGACCCTGCTGCCACTAGAGAGTTACCTCAGACTGCGTGGGGTCTTGCTTCCAACTCTAAGCATGCTGATATAGCATCCCCAAGACATAGACAACATTTCTATGGTCCACACACCAGGCATGATTTGTCCAGTGCTGGCTCAGCCCCCAGCACAGCCTATCCCCATCCCAGGACCTTCCCACCACAGCTCCTGCCCTGGCTTCTGCTTCCCTTGGCTGACTGAATCACTGACTGAATCCTTCCAAGGCTTTTGTTCCTGGCAAGTGTTGGAGGTGAGAGAGATGTGTTAAATGAGTGTTGTAACCAGCCACTAGCCCACCTTCCCAGTCCTCCAGGATAGACAGGGCCCCTGAGGTTTTACTGGCCGAGACATTTCCCGCAGGAACTGGGCACAATCCTGGTGTCCGTGATACTCTGCCAGGTCCATCGCTGTATACCCATCTTCATCCCGCAGGAAGGGGTCTACATGGTGGGAGAGCAGGGTCTGGCAGCACTGTAGAGAAAGAAATACTTGATGACACACATGGCTCACTGGGTGTCAATGGGGACATTCAGGCCACCTCCCTGGCTACAGACTTGGTCACTTGGCAGCCTGCCTTGGAGGGACCCACTCAAGTCTTTCCCTCATAGACCCTTTCTATGCAAATGAGACATCTTCCTCAGGTGAGTGGCCAACTCCTCCAGAGCTCATGGCTTAAGCAAAGCCTAGCTGAGGAATAGGCATGAGGTAACTAAGCCAGATAGACTGTGGGAAACTCCTGGGATAGCAGGGGGGGGGGGGGCATGGTGACTAGGACGGGAGGTAACAGGGTCTGCTGAGCAGATGACACATCGAAGAAGGGCAAAGCATCAAGTTTGGCCCCAGGTAGTGTTGGATAGAGAAGGCGCAGCCTGGACTGAATGGTAGCCTGGGCAGGGGGTTGTGGGGAGGAGGACTCTGCCAGTATGAAGGACTCCTGGGTGCTGGGACCAGTGGGCAGAGGTGGCTGGTGAGAGATGACCAAGGTACAAGCCTCTGAGGAGGCCATAGCAGAAGAAAAGAGGTGAGCAAATGGATCTACTACAGGGAAGGGAGGGGCAAGTGGGGCCATGGAAGGATGATTCACACTGTATGCCTTCTGAGGATAAAGAGGGGGAGAAGTGACGATGTTGAGACCGGGAGATGAGGGAGGCCGGAGGAGGGCCTCAGCTCACACTCAGTTTCACTCTATACTACAAAGCTGCTGACAAGCAGGGCTATTTCCCCAGTAGCCTAAAGAATGAGGAATCAAGGAGACCAGGAAGTGAATAAAAAGCTCTAATTGACAAGCCCCTGTTGTAGGCTAAAGTCACCTATGAGCCAGCGGGCTGCCTCATGCTTTAAGGTGGAGAAACCTCTAGCCTGGAATGAAGGTTAAAAGGGACCCAGGCTTGTAGCTCTCCCACTTGTGTGGTGCAGGAAATGAAAAACCACTCCAGTCACAACTACAGACCATTCTCCGATTATACTGTCCAGCACACAGCCAATAGAAATGAAGGATGCACGGGAACGGCACTGGATGACCCCCAACAAACGGGCCCAGAAAAACCACCGTGATCCTGACTGAAAGAAATAAAACCCAAGTGTGAAAATTTAGACATGGTATCCTAGACAGTAAAAGTGATACAGGGCTTGGGATGTGACTCAGATGGCAGAGCGCTTGCCTAGTATGCATAAAGCCCCAGGCTTTACCCCTTGCCCTGAAACAGGTGTGTCGGTGCACACCTGCAGGCGCACACCTGCAGCACCTGTGACCCCAGCACACCCAGGTGGAAGCAGGGCGATCAGGAGTTCAAGGCCATCCTCAGCTGCATAGTAAGCTCAAGGCCAGCCTGGCATATGTGAGACCTTGTCTCAAACTTTTAAAACAAGCAGAACTAAAACCAAGCTAACAAATAACTGATACGTAGATTGAAAATGATGGGGGGGGGGTGTAAAGACATGACTACAACTAAGACCGGAGGCTGAACTAGTAAAGAGAACATTGGTCAGAACTGAACCATGGGAAAATAATTATACCAAACGAACTCCCTAAGGCCCAGAAAGACAAATGTCCCATGTTCTCTCTCATATGTGGATTCGGCTTCAAATCTTGTGTGTGTTTAACCTGAAACGTAAGAAGCCAGGAGGCTAAAAGGGGCCTGAAGGGCCTACATCAAGGAAAGGAGGGTGTGTTAGAGAAAATCAGTGAGAGTATTGGAACACTTGGAGGTAAAAAGGAGTGTGGGGGTACGGGGGAAATGATCAGGAAGGCTAACCCTGAGAGACAGTGTGCAAAGCCATGGGGAAGCCACCTCACGACCCAGCTGAAAAAGTAATCACAGAATACGTGTGATATGCAAGAAGAGGAGGGATTCTGGGAGTTAAAGGAGTGAGGGTAGGAGTGGGAGGATGAGGAGAGGTGGGGGTAGGAGAGGGGGTAGGAGGGGGTAAGAGATGGGGTAAGAGGGTGATAGGAGGGGGTGACAGGGTAGGAAAGATGTGTTAGTCAAAGCTAAGGATACATGAAATCACCCCCTGCAAACCTACTGGCTAGTAAACCACATTCAAAACATAACTTTAAACAATGTAACTGAGACATTGAAGAGAGACCCAAAAAACGAAACAGAAAACCCAGCAGACATGCGCTATCAGGACAGGCATCCTTCAGGGGCCTGAAGTAGTCTCCAGACTGTGGCATCATTAAGATACAGTGAGGTTTGAGGAGGCTGGACCTACTAGAAGGATGCTGGGTCAGTGGGGTGTACTCTAGAGGGATATTGGGACTCCAATCCCTGTTCATTCTCTTTCGCAGAGGTGAGGTACACCGAGCTGAGCTCCATCTCATGTGTTCCCTTCATGATGTTCTGTGTGGCCACAGGCCCACAGCACCAAGAAAGAGTGACCGTGGACTAAAAACTGTGAGCCAGAACAAACTTCCCCTCCTAGTAAGTTGTGTATTCTCCTTAATTGAATGCAAACACTGGATAGTAAAGTCAAACACACATAATATGAATCCCAGAAGAGAGTGTGGAGCAGAAATGCTGCCTGAGAGATAGTGGATGAGGTCCCTATAGACAGATGGCAGACACCAGAGCACAAATCCAGGAGTCCCAGCAAATCCCTGGCAGTATAGCCAGAGGCCCACCTGCCTCCTGTCCCCTCACAGTAGACAGACTGCAGAAAGCACAAGCGAAGGGAAGAGGATGATTTCAGAACACAGGCCTTCTAACAGACAAAGGCTAGGAAGCAGCAAATGATCATTTTCAACTGCATACATTTAAAAAAAAATTAAAATGGCTGAAAATTACCAAGTCTTTTTTTTTTTCTTTTCTCTCCCAGACAGGGACTCCTAAATTACCCCTGGCTGACTTCAACTTTGTTATGTAGCTAAATCTGAACCCCTGATCCTCCTGCCTCCACCTCCCAAATGCTGGGGTGGCAGGTGCGCCTCTCACCACACCACACCATAGCTGGCTTCCAGCTACTAGTTTATTTCTGGCAAAGGTACCCCTCACTACCGAAGAGGACATAAAGACATTTGGAGGCAAACACACATACACAAAGAAGGATGGTTCTCAGCCACAAAGCCACACTGAAGGAGTCCCCAGATACACCAAACCACAGGACAGCAATTCCACACGGGAGCTTGATCTGCAGGCGCTGGCGAGAAGATGTGAGCTTGTGGGTTCGTTTTATTTAAAAAGAGAAAGACTGAAGGTTTGTAAAGCTGTAGAAGCAAGTGTTGGAGGTGGCCCTCCCCCAGTCCGCATGACCTGTTCTCTCTCCCAGCTGCTCACACTGGTCTTCACCCTCTGCCTGGTGCCACAGTGTCCCCAGCTGGAGGCCCAAATCTGAGCTGGGAGCAGGGAGCACACAAGTCCTTCCCATGAGCCCACGTGTGCCAGGCTCCAGCCCTAGCTCCCAGCCCCTGTGGGAGCCTCGGCTGCTTCAGGGTTGGAGAATGGGAATGAGGAAGCTAAGAATTTTTCCAGGGTCGTGATGATGACTGCATAGCCTCCATCCACCTGCTCCACAGCTGCCCTGTGGACAAGCAGGGGCTCGGGGTCGCTGAGGGCAACCGTCCTGAATCCTCAGCCCCAGGACACCCTGAGCCTTCTGTTCCCAGCTCTTCCTAATACCTCACTCACTCTTCTAACACAACACCATGTGCGATAGCACCGACCCGTACACATCGCTTCTAAATAATTAAAATCCTGCACTGGAAACCAGGAGGGCCAGCTGGCTGAATCAGACTCAGCGGAGAAACGCAGAGAAAGGGATGGAGCCCCAGGTCTCCTGTTGGGCTTTTCATGGGGCTCCCTTCTCTGTCCATGCCTCTGACTTCCAGCTCTGATGTTCTGTACAGTACTCCTGCCCACAAGAAGGGAGTGGATGTAGAAGACCAGTGAATGGCCATCGACCTGTATTGTGAAAACCCTTAACATTTCCTATCTGTTCACACAAGGTCACTGGGAATTGCGGACCCCTCATTAATTAATAAGCTAAATAGAAATCTTTGCCACAGGCTCACTTCATAAGTTGCATCAAGATTACATAAAAGGTGTTTTGTTGTTGTTTGGGTGCTTGTTTTGCTTGTCCCTTTTGAGATAGAGTATCACTCTGAGGATGGCCTCAAACCTGCAATTCTCTCCCTTCTGGTCCCCAGGTGCTGGGGTTATAGATATTACCACTATGCCTAGGTGGCAGGTAACAGCTTGATTTACCTGTATGCAGAATCATTACAAATTTAACAGCCAGAAAGCCAGGCTGTTGTAGCTGGTGTGTAGTTCAGTGGGTCGAGTCCTTGTCTACCATACAGGAAGCTCTGGGTTCAGTCACCAATACCGCCTAAACCAAGGTCTCAGCAGGCAGGAGAGAGAAGCCGGAGGGCTGGAAGTCCAAGTTCATTCCCTGCTACAGAGTGAGTTTTAGGCTACACAAGACTCTTTTTAAAAACAAAGCCAGCACAGCTTCTCTGCCTCTTAGCTGAGAACAAGTGTAGCGTCAAAACCAAGAGGTAAAATAAAATAAAACAGTATCAGAGCACTGAAGCTCTAACATCAGGCCCAGCAATTGCTGTCACTGGCCTCAGTTTTAGAGCTGAGATGAAACTAAATGCCTGTCCCCTCAATGTATTCCATGGAGCCTTTCCTAGAAAGGGAACTTTTCTCACAACCCTCGTGGGTCAGCCGAGCACTTTACACTCGAGCACATGCACATTTGAGGTCTAACTGTGGCAGTGAGGTGTTTTGAGGCCTTTGCTCAGATGGTCACAAGCTGGGTTTTCACATCTGTGTGTTGAGCCCTGAGCCCTGAAGAGATTCACCCCTGCAAATGTGTTCTTCACTGAGCAGGGCTGTTCTGGTAGAGCTAGCCTTCCTGTTCCCGACACGAGGACCCCAATCACCGTAACCACCCGAGCCAGTCCCGAGTCTAGGACCCTACAGAGGGATTGCCCCCACAGAACCCACGGACGCTGACAAAGACGTCTAGCTCTGTGTCTGTTGAGAGAGTGACTGTGAATGAGGGAGGATTGGGCATGCGTGCATCACAGGCACGAGACACAGAAGATGGCTGAACCTCCACAGGGTAGGGCATTGGTGGGTATCCCTGGGCTTTCTCCCTGGAGTTAAAGCTAACTGTCAGTTATAACCAGTCACACATCTGGCCCAAAGCAGCCTCACAGGTGTCCTCTCTTCCTCACTGCCTGTCCTACCACAGTGTGCTCCTCCAAACAGCGTCCTCAAAGTCACCTGTCCTCATGTCCTAATACAGCCTTCGATGGCCTCCCTACACCACATTATGGCCTCCTGCCCATAATTTCTCTCCTCCAAAAGCCTTGCATCACCCTACCATCTTTTTGGCCTCACCCAGTCCACTCCTTCCCATGTGCCTTTTCTTCAGGAGCCTCCTCTCTGTGGCTTTTTATATACTGGTTTACTGATACAGCTCACACACGGTCCTCCCATCTAACACATGTGAGATCCTCCCCCTCAGGAGTCGGCAACAGTCTTCCTCAGGCCCCACCCAGGACCAGTTAAAACCAGAATTGGGGATGGAGAGAGCTGCTGGCACATTTTGAAGTTCTCTTGAGGTTAAGCTAAGCTGGAGAACCAGGGCTCAGGCCAGCGCTGCAGGCTGCACTGGCACCCATGTCTTATGAAGCCTGACCTAGACTGATTATGCCTGTCATGGGACAGAGAAGGTTTGAAAATGGAAACAGGAAGTACTCATTTGAACACCCATGGAAACAGGGATCCAGCCAAGCATTGGGTAGAGGAAAGGCTGGACCCTGGAGCAGATGCACTGGACTTATTTCTATGTATGTGTGTGTCTTGCTGGTGTGTGTATGTGTACAGGCGTGCCTGGTGCCACCCCAGCCTTTGGTCTGCTCTCGTATGCCAGGAGGCAGGAAGGCAGGAGCTGCTGAGGACATGCACTCTTGCGAGTCCTGGATTCTGTAAGACTTAAGGGAGGGTACACTCCTCTGAGGACTCCTTTCCGTGGAGCTGGCTACTCTTTATTTGCTTCATGGGCTTCTGTACAGTCTCATATGGGAAACTATCTGACTGCTTAGGAAAAGCCCTGGACTTCACTGCCCTGCACACCTTTCCCTAAAAAGGAGCTGGGGTGTGCTTGGGTGGGCCCTGATGACCTGGCAGCCCCAAGGGTGGGGTGGGAGTGACTCCCCTCTTCCAGCTCCCAGGATGTTTTATCCTCACCAGACAGGACAGAGAGGGTTCGCAGGGACTCTGGCAGGCTCCTTATTCCTCCAGGCTAACCTGGGGACAGAGGTGGAGTGAGCTGGGCAGGCCCTGTGGAGAGCAGAGCAGGTGAGAGGCAGCCTCTGCCTAGAAGGCAGAGGAGGTAGAGAAAGGCCCATGGGTAGAGGCTATGGACTGGCCAGGGTTGCCTTTAGTGATCCTGTGGTGGCACTATGTGGAGTTCTCTTGTTTGGCATTGCTGAGGAGTCTCCCTGAATACTGGGGATCCTGCTAGGGACAGCTGCCCAAACTCTGACCCATGCGAGGACACTTGGATTGTCTCCAGTGACAATCCCCATAGATGAGTCGAGTTGGCCTGGAGACTTGCAGGGCAACCTTGGCAAAAATCAGTAACTCAGGAGGAATCCAGGAAGCAGGTAGGAGGGGTTGGGATGGAGCTCAGGTTTCTCAGGGAAGGAAGGGGAGGGGAGAAGGAAGCTGCCCGGGACCAGACCCAAACAGGACACCAGCAGTCTTGTCCCTCAGAGCTTGGTGCTTCCTCATCTGTGACATTTTCACCCTTGCATGTCCTGAGTCTGGAGATTCATTCCTAGAAACTGGGCCACCTGGGCCAGGTTAGCTCATATAGCCTTCAACCACACATCACCAAGCTAGCCTGGAGCAGGAAACAGGGATTTTTCTGAGCCAATAGCTTCCCCCATAGTTCATGACCTAGGGATGTGCTCTGCCTGCTCCACCCACTGTTGAAGGGTAGTACTGGTATTTGTTCCAAAGGTCTTCTGGGAGGATTCAATGGTACACTGACAGTGCCAGCTCGGAGTCCTAGCCCCTCCCCCACCGCAGTATATACCTCCATGTGTCCATTCTCGGCTGCATCGTGCAGGGGGGTTCCTCCCCAGGAATCTCTCATGATGGGGGCACCCATGAGCAGGAGTCGGTCAAGAATAGGTGTGTGGCCCCCCCGAGCTGCAAAGTGCAGAGCAGTGGCTCCTTCGTTATCCCGTGCTGTCAGGCCGATGTCTGTGAACGTGACCTGTGGAGACAACCAAGGAAGGTAGGCTGTTAGCTGAGGGTAGACCTGGGGTAGTTTCTCTCAGGGAGAAGAGACAGGAACACTCGGAGCAGAAATGGGACTTCCCAGATGTGATCCTCAGTGGGTAGAGGAGATATCTCCAGGAAGCCTTGGTGCAGAGCTGGCTCATCTCACATGCCTTGTGACCCCGGTGACATCCCAAGCCAGGGCAGGTTATGTGAGGACAGGACTTGAACACTGGAAGCCCACAAGCCAAATGCTACAGCAAGAGAGGAACATCACATAGAGAGTCAGCAATAGGAGAGATGGGGAGGATACTGGCACAGGCTGCCCTTGGGTGTCTCAGTTCCTCGGTGGGTGCTGCCAGAGGCCTGGGTGCTATGGCACCTTCCCCCATAGCTCTGGTCCAGAGCCGCTCACATAGCCCGGGGCCTGTCCTGTTGGTCAACACTAGAGTGCTTTGAGGCCTGCCTTCACCTCTGGACATCTGGGATTGTCTTTGACTCTGTTCTGTGGGGTCTGTTAGATGATTGGTGACCCAATCGACAGGCAGGGGAACTTTGGACATTTCCTCATCCAGAATCGCCTTTCTGGTCCTGTGGCCCTGTGGCCACTTTGTCCTCAGACCAGAGTGAGCCCAACTTGACACAATCCAAGGCTTCTCTGTGGACGAATCACCTGTGCCCTGCCAGTGGCCACCACCGTGACCACTTCTCCAATCTCACACATCCAGGTGGCAGGACAGCCAGCTTAACCTCAGACCTGGGACACAGCACAGGTGACGGTCATGGCCCTCAGTGAGTGAGTTAGATTTGCAAGCAAGGCCATGGGCAAAGCTTCAAAGACCAAGCTATTGGGGAACTGGGCAGCCCGGAGCCAAGGCTTTCTCCAGAGGGAACTGGAGTCACACACGGTTGATACCAATGGCTGGGCAGGCATAGCAAGGAAAGCTGAAGACAAACGACATAGTCTCTTGTGGGACTGCGTGAGGGTATCCTGGGTCATGGTTGAGCAGGTGCCTAGAATCCCAAGACTCTGCAGACTCTGCGTGGGATTCTGCGTGAGAACCAGCAGGAGTTTGGTGCCCCTCAGAATCCAGGATCCTGAAAAGCAGTCACGGTCTCCATAGAATTACATTGTTCAGTCACATAGGCCAGGCTATAGGCCTCAGGCCCTAGGGATTTACATACTAATGAAGGCCAGAGGGCGGAGCAAATTAAACATGCCTCCTCCAGATCCTCCCCCAATCCTCCCCCTTTCTCCCTCCCTATATAGCTCAGGACTGCCCTGAGTTTTTGCGGGTACGCCTAGATCCATCTACCATCCGCCATGACAATAAACTTTTCTGGAACCAAGGACTTTCTCGTGTTATTGGGGCCTGCCGCCGCCAAGGCCTCCAGGCTGCTGGAACCATAGGATTCCTCCCGAATGTGGGACCCGCCACAGCGTGGAAGCCCCTCTGGCCTCCCACCGCTGTGGCAGCCTCTAAATTTTCCCCACAGTCTCTGAGACATTGGGGAGGACATCCCCCAGTGTAAGGGGAGCACCGCTCCTTTTGTGTGTCCTCACACTAACTACCAGGCACAGGGAATCCAGCAGACGTACAGGACCTGACCTCCTGATGGAGGATGGAAACAACTGTGGTGCCAGCCAGATGTATTATTGGTCAGATACTAGTTCCAGGGACGCCCAGGGACCTCAGGAAGGTGCAAGGTACAGCATGCACAGATGAGAAGAGGCTGGAGGGAGAGCTAAAGGGTAGCAGGAAGGGGGAGTCCTATTCACAGTCAGAATGATTTTGATCTCAGTCCTCCATGGCTTCCCGGGATCCTCTTGATAGAGCCCCTATCCACCCAGGGCCATCTCTGTCTTAACCACTCTAGCCCAGGCCCAGAGGCCAGGCTTTCCTATCTTTGAGTGTGATGCATCCTCTTCTGGGAAATTGCCTTGAGTCCAACCCCAACCACAATACACATCATGCTACTTCCTACCCACCATAGTCCTCCTCCCCCTCCTCTCCATCTTCCCCTTCCTCCTCCCTTTTCTCTTCAGGGTCCTCCCCAACTCATGGACTCTATGGAATCTCTAATGGACCCTTGTAGTGCCCACTTCTGGAGGTGACTGGTTCTCTGCTGTGAAGGTGAGAAGTCCCTGGCCCGCTCAGGCCCAGCTCTGGATACTCTGGAGTTTAGGGTTTCCTTCTTGGGAAAGGTGAGTGGCTGCCCCAGGGCTCTGGTGAAGGAGGGTTTGAATGTGGCTGAGTGGCTCAGGTCAAGTGCTGGTACCTGTGACAGATCATCAACGCCCCAGAGAAGCACCTACCTCCTAGGAAGGGGCCCTGTCTGCCCTTGGGGCTGCTCTCCATTTCTCCTACAGTCCTGTGGGCACTGCAGAGGTGTGGGGTTCCACCTGACGCTCTAGGTGCTGTGTGTGACCCCGGTGCCTGAGAGCCCCCTTCCAGGCCCATCTGATGCTAGGGCCTGGTCCTCCCGGATGCCTCGATTCCCAGGGTGCCCCCTTACCAGCCAGACAACTAGAGAGTAGTGGCCACGGGCAGCCGCGGCGTGCAAAGAGCTCATGCCATCCAGGGCTCGCAGGCGCACGTCGGCCCCGCAGTCTTTCACCAGAAACTGTGCCAGATGCAGGTGGCCCTCTTGGCAGGCCAGGTAGAGTGGAGAGGCACCGCTGCACGTCCGCTGGTTCACACCACTGTGATGGAAGGAGGGTCATGAGGCCTGTGCCCAGAACTGCCCCCCAGGAGGAGGAGCTGGGGCAGCATCTGGGGGCTTTCTGCAGGCTTCCCTTGGGCTTGGGTGAGTTCTTAGTTCCCAGTGATCAGCTGCAGGGAAGGCCAGTGTCCTACCCCAAACTGACATCATCCTCAGTGACACAGACTTGCCCTTGACCCCTGACACCTGACCCTGTGCACTATGCTGCCCCAGCCTGCCTTTAACTCCTGCCTTGCCTGGGTCAAGCTTACTCATATCAGTTATTTTAGATGGACGGGGGTCACAGTCTTGACTTATTTTGCATTCTCAGCCATCCCTGTAGAGACACAGAATTAACTCCTAACTCCTAAGGGCCCCCTCTGCCTCTGTGCCACTCTGGCTGGTACTGTCTGCAGAGCACCCCTGCCAGACACAGCTCTACCCACTGAGCAGTCTTTGCTTTGTGCTAGTGCTGCGCTCACTGGAATTGGGAGGAGGCGGTCCCCTTAACAGTAAGCCTTGGCTCTTAACCGCTCTTGACTCAAGCATATTTGTCTTCTAGGTCTCTGTCTGTGCCTTGGCCTTGTCTCATCTCTGGGGCCCTTGAGCAGGGTTCCACTCAGGCAACGGAGGCAGCTTCCACAAATACCCTGCAACTGCCAGAAGGGGAAACTGAGGCTGAGAGATGAATGATTTGCTCAAGGAGCAAGGGTTTGGGCTTCTCTCCTTACAAAGCCTGTCTAGCCACCTTGTTCTAGCAAGGTGATATAGGGCTCAGACCAGAACACAGCAAAGGAGGAAAGAGAAAAAATTGAAAACTGCCTGTCTCGGTTGGTGGGGCCGTGCCTTCCCTCATCCACAAACCCTAGAGAGCAGGACACAGGGCATTGGACTGATGAGGCTGATCCAGTCAAGGGATCTCCAATGGGGAGGATGGACCCAGTCAGCATGTTGAAGCTGGTTCCTCTTCCCAAGCACCATTTGGGTGCAGTTCTTGCAGGCCTCTCCCCCTTCAACCTGTACAAGCTGCACTTATATTTAAAGGCCCTCCCTGACCCATGCAGAACTTGTACTGTGCTTTCTGCCCCTGCTTATCCTCTGCCTCTGTTACCACAGGGCCTGCCTCCAGCAAGTCTTCCTGTGCCTCCCCTCTGTACAGCCCCCCTCAGAGGCCAGTCACTGTGGGTAAGGTTCTGGGCTCTCACCTGCTGTGGGCCGCTGTCAGGAGTTTCAGACAGGTCAGGTCACCACTTACAGCAGCGTGGTGCAGTGGCAAGGCCCCTTCCAGTGTCTCCAGTGTGGCTGCATGGCCCTCACGTAACAACCACTCCACCAGGGCCGGATGTCCAAACCGGGCAGCCAGGTGCAGCGGGGAGACACCTGAGGCATCTTGGTCCTACCGGGGGCACAAGCAGGACACTGAGTCTATGCAGGTCCCAGTGCGGCCTGGCTGGGCAGCACCAGCATAGCCAGAAGGTTAGTCTCATGGAGGACCCTGTAATGTCTGCAGCTGACTCTTCTCCAGTTCCTCCATCCCCTACTGAGACTGAAGGAGCACCCTGCGTGAGGAAGGAGCTAGACTAGGCCCCTGGGACCCCACCCTACCCCAGCAGCCTCCCTTCTTCATCAGCTGAGTCCCTGTCCATTCTGCACATGCTCAGAAAGGCTTCTGCTAGCACAGTAATTCCCACCACGACTGTTCCAGGGCACCAGCCTCTAGGCCTCTGGGCTTCTCCCTTCTCCATCATGGTCCCCAAGGCATTTCTCCTCAAGGTGTCAAGCATCTGGTAGAACCTGGCCATTCCCTGAAGGTGCTACGATCCAGTGTGAATCTGGAAATGGATCAGTGTCTGTCTGCCCTCTGCCCTCTGGGTTGTTGGAAAAAATCAATGAACAAGGCCGTGGAGGCTGAAGAAGACTGCCCTATACCATGTGCCAGTGTCTCCATCTCCATCCAACTCTGATGACTGTTTCATGCTCTCAAGAATGCAGCCATGGCTAACAACTCTAAGCCCCTTGCCTGCACCAAGCAGGTCTAGGCATGCAAGCAAATAGGAGGCTCGTAGCTCTGATAGAAATGTTCTAGCAAGATGGTCACCATACTTGAGAGTCTTCCTGCTATCACAGCCTGTGTCCCTAAGGGAACAAGATCCTGAGTGCCCAAAGCCACTTCACAAATCTTGACCCTTTGGAGAACAGGTTCTGTTGATCACGTCTGATCAGAGATGAGATCCCAAACATAGGCAAGGCCATTGTTGGCAGCCCCAGGTGCTCCTTGCTGAGGGAGGTGTGGAAAAACCCCGGTGACTTTTCTGTGCCAGTGCTGGATACATCTGATGTGGCCTTGGTGTTCAAGGGATTTATGCCTTTTTTTTTTTCAGAGCGGGGGATGGGATGGGAGAGACAAAGGCACACATCTCTGACTGAGAGCTCATGGCCTTCTAGGGACTTCCTGGACTCATCTGAGCCAGATTCACAGACAACAGGCACAGAGCTGCCCTGTTCTAGCTTACCTGCAGCCCACAGCCCCCGTCACGGACCAGCCAGCTCAGCTCTGCCAGGTTGCCCGTGGCTGCTGCATCGTGCACTGGTGTGGCCCCGTTGTGTGCCTGCTGGTTTCCCGGCAGCTTGGCTGTCTGCACCAGGAACTTGACACAGTCCAGGTGACCAGCCCGGGTTGCATGATGCACCAGACCAGCCCCCAAATCATCAGTGATGTCCGGTCTCAGGGCACCAGCCTCAAATAGCCGCTCCAAGGTGGCCACATCCCCATCCTTGGAGGCCACCAGTGCCTGCTGCACCTCCATCCTCAAGTCTCTCAGTAGTGGCTTGTGTACAGGCCCAGCAAGGCTTCCTGTTTCAGGCGTGGACGCTGCTGAGGGCTCTGGTTACCTGATAAGCAGCTCCCGGGGCAGATGGGAGACAGCAACAGGGGGGCAGGCTCTGGGGACTGGCCCTCGAAGCTTGGCCCAAGCAACTCGGGCTGGGTGCCTGGAGCTTCCAAGCATGGAGAGTGCAGGCCTGGAGGAAGGGGTATGCAAGTCAGGCCAGCAGATGCCACTGAGCAGCTGGGGCCCTATCATCTACAGAGTGAAGTGAGAGCACCCCTCAGCAGGGCTCCTGGCTGGGATGGGTCTTCAGCCAGCCAGCAGCGTTCACAGCTACAGTCCACTCAGGCTCAGAAACCTGCCCCAGGAAATACTTCAGTGATAGACTAGCAGGCCATGCAGGAGATGTCTCAATTCTCTTTGAAGAATAGACCCACTGCAATAACCTTAGGGTCTAAATGCCATCACCTGAGGTACCCAGGACACACACACACACACACACACACACACACACACACAGAGAGAGAGAGAGAGAGAGAGAGAGAGGGAGACAGATTCTCTGTGTTTATGTGTGTGTGTGTTTACCTGAGACAGGGTCTAAGTTGTGATCTGGAACTCACAGAGAACAGTGGTCTGCCTGTCTCCACCTCTGTTGCTGGGATTAAAGGTGCATGCAACTATGCCTGGCTGGTTTGTATCTGAAACTCAGACCTTGACTCTTCTCAGCACTGATACGGAATGAGCTTCCAGTGGCTGCTGGGTGGTAAAGGCTTCTAAGGTGATAGGATGACCCCACAGCCCCACATTGCCCCCTCTGGCCACAACACTCTTGGAAGTCTGGACCATCCATGGTCCTTGGCTGGGGAAACTAGTGTGGGGTCACTCTGGTGCCACAGGAAGATGCTGACCAACCTCAGGCTACATCAGAAACCTCCTTCCCTTCAGCTCAGACAGACAGACAGACAGACAGACAGACAAGCATACATCAGCCTTGTAAGCAGTCTCCTTTGGCTCAGACAGACAGACGAGCATACATCAGCCTTGTGAGCAGCAAGACAGAGAATCTCCCACCACCACCAGAAAAAACCCAGGCCACCTCAGCAGGTGCAAACATCTTTCATTAGCTCGTTTAATTTTTGACAACTGTTTTCACGTGTTGCGTCATCCTTTGGACCACAGACCCACACACTAAAACCATCCTCCAAGAAGACATTCCTATTTAAACCTTTGTACGATGTGTGCCACACATCCTCAAGATGACAGAAGCTTTTGCAAATAAAATTAAAATAGAATCTGAGTGAGAAAGGCTCAGACTTCCCACTTTGGCAAAGCCTGAGATCAGGCACCAGCCTCCGGGCAGCCCCGCTGGAGGTGGATCCCTGAGAAGAAGGCAGGGTGAACTGTGACCTCTGGGAACAAGGCATGAGACCTCATCTGGACCATCAGGCCAGGGAGGCAGGCAGGCAGTGGCAGGCTGAGGGCAGAGGAGAGGCCGGGCTGCAATGGGGAGGGGTGTGTCTGTGGGTGTGCTTGGGAGGCCTTGGGTGGAGACGAAATCAACTTTCCTATTCTCACACTAGCAGCTGAATGACCCTGGAGCAAGACCTGGATTTTGTCTTCTGGCCAAGGTGCCTTCTGGGGTCAGACAATCCTGGCAGGTTGCCTGATAACTGGAATAGTCCTATTCCCCTGTGGCCTTTGTCAGAAGGTGACAGGGGGAAGTCCTATGTGACACGGCTGTCCTGAGCCTGTAAGGATGGGTGCTGGAGTGGGATTCTGTGCGGTGGGCAGCCCCTCATCACAAGTCGACTCAGTGCGGCTCTTGAGAAGGGGCAGCTTAGAGACCAGGGGCTTTTGCAAGCGGTTTCCTATGGATTGAGTGGCCAAAGTCCAGCTGGACACTGAGGGAAAGAGCAGCTGCTAGCTCTAGGCCGGGCCTTCCAGCTGGGCCACGGCCTGCTTCAGGTCCTGCACGATGAGGTCCACCTCAGCCCGGGTGGTACTGCGGCCCACACTGAGCCGGACTGCATTCCGGGCCACGTCCACGGGAATACCACAGCTCAGCAGCACTGGGGATGGCCTGCAGAGGGCGACAGCATCCACTGCAGCTGAGAACATGCTTCCCTTTGTGCTCCTACCTCTCAGCCAGACCCTCAAGCTGAGGATATGCTGTATTTGCTCAGTGCCTACCTACCTGGCCTGTTGACATTGGTTCGAGTCCTCCTGTCCCCAAACTCCCTGGCTCAAACATTCCTCCAAGCCTACTCATAGGTAAGGTTCCCCCATCACTCTCCATTTCTCTCTAGTACCCATTTGTGCTTCACATGGGCAACCACACTGCTTTCCAGCCCTTAACGCCTTCCTCCCATGCATCTACCAACTATGTCCAGCTCTGCACTGAGGCCTGGCTCCTGGGCCTTTCCTGTATTGGGGTCTTGGTAAACATTCTTTGATCAACGCCATCTTAGCATTGATGCTTAATCAGGGGAGCCCATGTGTCCTTCTCATCTGTACCTCCTACTTGACCCTGCTCCCCAACTGGCCTCTTTCTCCCTGCTTCTAAGGGAGCCTTGGCCATCAGGTGCTGCACTCCTGGCACTGTGTGCCCTCCTAGGTCCTTTCTCTCTTCTGTGAACCACTGATCCCTGTGAGCCTGGTCCTTGTTCTCTCCTGGTTAGAGCAGGGACCATTCACATGCCCACTGAACCGTCCCACCAGCTCTGGACCAGGTCCTGATTGCTGACTGCTGTCCCCAGAGCCAAGCCCATTTATCCCTTCACTCCGATCCACAGGGATCTGCTCCCCTCTTCCGAGTCTGTAGTTCAGGGGCTCGGCCCCACATCACCATTGCCTCCACCTGAGAGTTGGGAGTAGCTAAGAATACCCACCGGTCCTCATGATCTGAGTGGCATGAAGCTCCCACGCTGGCCAGCAGTGTCCGGCACTGTGCAAGGACCATGTACCCTGTGAAGACAGCATGTGTCCTCAGATGCAGGACTCGAGCCATCTCCCAGCCCTCCCAGCCTTCTGGCTCTGTTTCCCTGCCACCACCACTGAATCCCAGTGCAGGGAAGAACTCCAGGAAAACTACTTCCTCCAGCTACAGAAAGGCCAACCCTCTTTTGCCTCCTAAGGCTGGCTTTGAAATGGTGCTCTAGCCAGCCACTGAAAGGGCACTGGGGTTCCTCCAGGCTGCCTTGCTTGCAGGCTTGGTGCCAGGTAGTGCTGAGGGTGGCTACCTACTGCTGTGCTCACCCAGGGCACATTGTGCTCTTCTCACAAGCCCAGGTTAAACCCTAAAGCTCCAGAGATGCTGGTGTAGTTAAACTCAAAAAATCCCTGTCACCCTGAGATTAACAGAGGTCATCCCTGGGCACAATTGGAGAATAGCTTCCTCCACAGAGGGTCTGGGGGGAGAAAGAGCAAAACTGCTTCCTCCTGTCAATCATGGGCTTTAGGTCCCATCATGTCTCATCAGGACATCAGGCTCCAAGAAGTCAAAAGCTAAGGGCTGGAGAGATGTTCAGTGGCTAAGAGCACTGACTGCTCTTCCAGAGGTTCTGAGCTCAGTTCCTAACAACCACATGGTGGTGGCTCATGACCATGTATATTGGAATATTATGGCCTGCAGGCATTCATGCACACAGCCCCTATATACGTTTAAATAAATAAGTAAATAAATAAACAAATAAATAAATATCTTAGCCTGGTAGTGGTGATGCACGCCTTTAATCCCAGAACTCAGGATGCAGAGGAAGGCGGATCTCTGAGTTTGAGGCCAGCCTGATCTACAGAGTGAGTTCCAGAACAGTCAAGGTTACACAGCGAAACCCTGTCTCGAAAGAAGAAGAAGGCAAAAGAAGAGGAGGAGGAGGAGGAGGAGGAGGAGGAGGAGGAGGAGGAGCAGGAGGAGCAGGAGGAGCAGGAGGAGCAGGAGGAAGAGGAGGAAGAGCAGAAGGAGGAGGAAGAAGAAGAAAAAGAGGAGGAAGAGGAAGAGTAGGAGAAGTCAAAAGCCACCTGCAGATGTGGCTCCTGTATGCTCTGAGCCACCAGGTCTGGGAACTGGGAAAGCGGAGCTAAGTGCTCCCAGGAAGATGCCACCCAAACTCGGAATCCTGCAGTTTGCCTTCAGCCACCTGTCACATGGCCTCTGGATTGTCTTGTCTTGACTGAGTGGAAGCAGGCAAGCTTGTCTAGCCTGGACTGATTTTCTTTGGCTTGGCCTGGGCACAGTCTGCTTTCTGCACCCTGGCTGCACTAACCAGTGTCCCCAGCAAATGTCCTAGACCCTGCTAATGTCAACTGCATTGTCCTGGGAGCACTCAAGGGCAGGAGCAGGACCTGGATCAGACCCAAACCCATGACTCCCCAACATCTGTGGGGATTAAGTAGTCACCTTGAAGCTGGGACCCCTGGATGGAAAAGTTGCAGGTGTTTGGGAGCCTCTCCACTCCTGGAAACCGGCTGTTCAAATGGATTCTCTTCCCAAATTCAGCCTAAAAATAACAGCACACACACACACACACACACCATGAATTAGTCAGTGAGCACTTCAAAGTCACCCTCTCCCATCAACTGTTTGATATCTAGACTTTTTTGGAAACTGAGTCTCAGTGTGTGTTTATCTTATGACAGCTATACAGTAGACTATGGACACTAAAGCTAGCCCAAGTGAACATAATGTGTTCACCTTTCACACACAACCACATGTCTGAGAAAGATACAGGGTTCCCTTTTGGGGTTTCTGATGCCAGCTAACTTCCAGCCCAGTTCTGCCCTCTCTTTCCCCAGGTCCCCAGACTGAGTTTCATCCACAGGGAGATAGTGTCTGGTGTGACCATGCTGCCTGCACTGTCCCACCCTCAGATGCCTTCCAGGTGCACAGACAAAGCTTCAGGGCTGGCCTTTCACCCTCTTACCTCCAGCCTCTCCTCCAGGTAATCCCGGACGTCTCTCATGTGGGCCTCATAAGTCTCACAGTTCTCGCTCACCAGATCAGCAGCCTGTGGAGAGACACAGGACAGTGTGGGACAGTGTGGGTCTCCCGGGATCAGAGACCAGACAGTTATAAACGGCCTTCCCAGACCCTGCTATGCCTCTGCAGAATGCTCCAGCAAGCCCTGCCAAGCTGCCCCACGTGCTCAGCAGGGTCACTTCCTACAGGCCTCATCCTGGTGTCACAGGCAGAACAGCAAACACACCCTGAGGGAATCTCGCCTCTTAAGGAGTATCATTCCTTCAAAACTAGGTCAGCAGGCTCTCTCCTAAGAAGGGAGTGCACAGGTCCTCAGGTCCCTGACAGTCCAAGGAGATAGTCATGGGAGAATAGGCGTTTGCACAGGCAGGGGAAGATAGCATGTCTTCTCGGCAGCTGCCTGCCTTGGTGAAGATTACTCACAGAAGCCCTAGGCTGGCAGAATAAGAATGTATGAGCCTGGTGAGCATATCATTAGCTCTACTAAGGGCTGAGATGACCCGCTGTGATATGTAAGGGTTATGCTAACTGCTGTTCCAGAGGCCCACAGAAACCATGGCAGATGCCCAAGGATTACTTTTTCCAGTGCTGTGGGCCATGAAAATGGACAGAGACACATTGGCACCCCATAGGAAGAAGAGACAGCCACAGCTGCTGTCTCAGATCCATGGATGAGGACCAGGAGCCCTAAGGGGTCTCCCAGCCTTGTGAGTGAGGGACTAGAAAGTGGGAGCCACCTCAGGATGACAGAGAAAGTGGAGGGACCTGTGTGGTTTGGGATGATTGGCATTAGAGTCGCTATGGCAACACACTATGGGTGTGTTGTCTTCGAGGGTGTTTCCAGAAAGACTTAGAGGGAAGACCCACCCAGAATGTTAGCAGCACCCTCTCATGGGCTGGAGCCCTGGGCTGAATGAAAAGAGATTGAGCTGGGCACGCCCATCTCTCTCTGCTTCCCTCCTGAGGCAATGTGACTATCCCTGCACAGTCAAGTTCCTGAAGGATTAGCAAAGCACAGGTTCCCGAGGAGCCAGGCCAAGAGTCCCACACCTGACCTGGGTACCTCACACCATTTGGCTAGACAGGGACCAGCAGGCCTGACTATATGCAATAAGGCCAGCATCGCCATCTCTCATTTGGGAAGAGACTTAAAGCGTTTCTCCTTTAAAATGATTCTATTTAGCTTGTGCGCGCAAACGCACATGGCACAGTGCATGCAGAGGTCAGAGGACAAGTATCTGGGTTGGTTCTGTCTTCTTACCATGAGGGCTTCAGGGATCAAACTTAGATCATCAGGTTGGACACCTTTACCACAGAGCCATCTCCCTGGCCTAGGTTTTTCCTTTTAACTGCTAAGCAGGAGCAACTCGCCCTACCTCAAAGAACAAAAGTCTCCTGAACTTCTCATCCTCCTGCCTCTACCTCCCAAGTACTGAGACTACATGAGTGCACCACATCTGGCTCTGGTTCTCCTGCCTCGCCGAGAAAATTCCAGGCTTTCCATCAATAGTACACTCATGGTGTCATGGTACCTGCCCAGGGTGAGCAGACTTACCTTCCCAAGGCCAGCAATCATGGGCGTGTTCTCGGTCCTGTGAGAGACAAGGCATGGTGTGGTGTAAGAAAGCTTGCCGAGTACCAGGCATGCAGGCATTCATTGCTCTCCGCTCCTGACGGCAGATGGGATGTGACCAGCTGTTTCAAGTCCCTGTAGCCCTGACTCCCCTGCTATGACAGGCTATAACCTAGAACTGTGTGTTCAAATAAATCCTTTCTTCCCTGAGGTATGTATGTATACACAGGACTATCCTTGAACTCCCGGTTCTTCTGTTACTACCACCCAAGCACTAGGGTTAGAGGTTTTGTTTGTTTGTTTTAAAGAATCTCTCTTGACTTCATTGATCTGTTTTCCTGGCTGGAATTTCTTATACTTCCAGGGCTCATCTTGCTCCCCGCTTTCTGGTTCCTCATACAGGAGCTTAGGCCCCTGCTTCACATCTTTTTTCTTCTCAGCTGTTTTTAGTCATTTTAGGATATACACTTTCCTTTCAGTCTGCTAAACTGTGCTTTCACTTTCATTCAGCTCACTGCCTTTGCTTAATCGACTCTGACCTGTGCCACTCCATTGTTTAGAAGAGTGTTTCTTGTTTACGGTTGTTTGGAGATTTTTCTGTTTCCTGGAATTTGCTTCAGGCACCAGTGGCTAGAGAGCACACACTGTAAGTTTCCATTTTTAACTGCCCCGATGTCTGCTTAAAGGAGGGCAAGTGATCCCAGCTCCCAGGGCTGTTGTTGGGTGGAGAGGTCCCCCCAGGTGACCCCATGTGATAAGCACATTGGCTCAGGTACTAACGGAGATTTCCATCTCCTTGACTTTGTCTAGTGGATCAAGCCACTGTTGAGAGCGCAGTCTCCGGTTTCCAGCTGTAACTGTGGGGTTTCCCCCTCCTCCTTCCTCTCTGGAGAGTAAACCAGGGCCTCAGGAATGCTTGACAAGCCCACCACTGAGCTCTCAGACAGCTGTTTCTTCTTTCCCTTCTATCCTGTTCTACTTGCAATGCTGCCCATCCCTGCACGTGCTCCTTGGTGGCCTGAGCTTCTGCCACACCCACACCGCGTCTTCTCTGCCTTGTGCTCTAGTGTCCACTGTAGCTAGGATTAGAAAGCCACGCCTGCTTCCCTCTCTGCTTCCCTTCATTCAGGTGGTCTCTCTCTGATATATTTGAAGTATCTTTTTAAAAAGGATTTATTTTAAGCTTTGTGTAAATGTGTGTCTGAGGGTGGGGTGGTGGGTATGCGGACATGAGTGTAGGTGCCCCAGAAACCAGAATAGAGCACTGGATCTCCTGGAGCTGGAGTTACAGATGGTTGGGATCCAGTCAAGAAGACTTGGGTCTTCTCTGAGAACAGGAAGTGCTTTTCACTGGAGAGATGAGCCATCTCTCCAGCCCATAAAAATCTTTTATGCGATGTGTTTATATCATTTGCATTTGACATCGTTATTGAAATGGCAGCTGTGATGGTTAGTATCAATTGCCCCCCTTGATAGGGTCTAGAATCTAAGAGATGAGGCTCTGTGCATACCTGGAGAGATTATCTCTTTACATTAATTGAGGTGGGAAGGCCCGCCCACTGTGGGCGGCGTCATTCTCTGGCTGGGATCCTGGACTGTGAATGTGGAGAAAGGGGACAGAGCAGCTGCATGCAGTCATCACACTGCTTCCTGGTTGAGGATGTGATGTGACAAACTCTGGCTGCCTGGACTTCTCACCATAATGGACTGCTTGAACTGTAAGCCAGGAGAAACCCTTCCTCCCTCCAGCCACTTTTGCCAAAGTATAACATAGAGACAGGAAAATAAACTAAGGCAGTAAGGCTTGAACCTGCTTTCCCCCATTTTTTTTGTGGTACTACCCAAACCGCAGCCTCATATATTCTAGGTGAGTGTCCTACCACTGAGCTACACTTCCAGACCCTCCTGTTTGCTTTTGTGGGGGTACTCCACAGTTTTTAAATTTTAATTTTGGGATATAACTATTTATCTCTTTGTAAAGTTCCACCCTCCCCAGGTGGTAGATATTGTATGCATTATATTAATATATTATATGTCACTATGTATTTGAAAACTTCAGCCTATTGATTTTATCATTTTACCTGCTCAAATGAGATATAGTCAGGTGGAAGATGCCCGTAGAACCAGTGCTTGAGAGGCAGGGACAGGAGGGTCAGAGTTCAAGACTAGCTTGAGGTATGTGAATCCTCCCTATAAATGCCAGACATATGTGGGAATACCCCTTCTTCTACGGCTTTTCCTTACACACCATTTTAAACGTTCACTTTATATACATTGATAACCCCATCAGACACTGTTCTAATCTTTCTTAAGCCATCCAATCTTTTTTTTTTAAACTTCAAGAAAAGTCCAAGAGGAGAAGGGCTGCCTACTCTTTTTTTTTTCTCAGCTTCTCTCAGTTTCTCTTCATCTGGCCACACCTTGATTTCCTCTTCAGCCCTGAAGATCTGCTCACCAGGTGTGAGATTCTAGTTTGATTCTTCTCCCTCTCTCTACACGGTGCACGACCATGTGAAGCCCGTGTCACTCAAAGCGCTTTCCTCTTGTCCATCAGATGTCGTCTGTCCCTGGTTGCTTTCAAGAGTTTATCTTCCACTGTTACACATTGGTTGCTTTCAAGAGTTTATCTTCCACTGTTACACATTTAAATGTCTTGGCATACATTTCTTTGGGTTTAATCTTGGCTTTTTGCTTGTTTGTTCTGTGTCTCTAGCTTTCTGGATCGGTGCTTACGTCTCTTACTAAATTTGAGAGGCTGGTTTTCCATCACTATCATCTTCATCACCATCATCATCATTTTGGTTTTGATTTTTTTTTTTTTTTTAAAGACAGGGTCTCACTATGCAGCCCTGGCTGTCCTGGAACTCTCTGTAGACTGGGCTGGCCTCGAACTCACAGAGCTCCACCTACCTCAGCCTCCTGTGTGCTGGGATTAAAGGCATGCACCGCTATGGCCAGCTCTATTCCCTCAAGTGACATTTTTAGCCCTGTCCTGTTTTCTCCTTTGAGGAGATCAACGGTGCATGCATCACACCATTTCTGATGGCCTCAGAGGTCTTTGATGCTCTATCCAGTTTTCTATTTCCTGGTGTCTGGTTTCTATTCTCTCTCTCTCTCTCTCTCTCTCTCTCTCTCTCTCTC